ATATAAAACTTAAAATACTTTAAGGAAGACATTGTGTTGCATTTTTATGCTAAACTTTTTTTAATATTATTTTTTAAGTGTGCAGAGTGAATACTTGCTTTTTAAATTCAAAGTTTGTAACATGGCAACAATTGCAAAATACAAAAACTGTTAAAGTCAAATACAACGCTTTGAAGGAAGTATTAGATGGCATCTCAAATTCAAAGGTCGCTTTAAAATATAATATACCAAAGATCGCCTTATCAACCTGGTTGAGAAACAAGGAAAAGATTTTTGATGCTGTGGAGAAAGAAAACAATTCAAAACATCAGCGTATGAGGAAAGGGTCAAATTTGGATCAAGCCATTTTCAAACTTCTGATTGTTTGTAGCAGAGATATCACTGTCTCGGGCTACATATATGGCTTAAATTTGTCTTTCAATTAAATTCGGTTAACACATATGATATAAATTTTTCTTTCATTTAAACTCGAGTCTTAAAGTGTTGACTTTACCGGTCCTTAGTTGGTTAGACTGTTGGAAGAAACGGTACAACATATCATATAAAACAGTTTCTGGTGAAGCTAATATATGTTCAAGTAAAATGGTAGCACCAAGGGAGGAAACCACGTTACCAACCATTTTATCAAAATATAAGTTGAACCAGATTTATAATGCTGATGAATTTGGCTTGTTTTATCAGCTCCAACCAAATAAATCTTTACATTTTAAAAATGAAAAATGTGTCGGTGGGAAACACAGCAAACTATATCTTACAGGATTGGTATCTGATAATGCATTAGGAAAAAAATTGCTAATGTTTGTTATTGGCAAAGCTAAATTGCACAGATGCTTTAAAAATGTTAAGCATTTGCCCTATCATTATTGCAGTCAGAAGAAAAGTTGGATGAATGGCACACTATTCTAGGAATGGGTTCATGATATTGATCGGCAATTTATGAAGGAAGTACTAAAAATTGTTTTATTAGTTGATAATTGTCCAGCTCATCCAATCATTGATAATCTTGAATCAATGGAACTAATCTTTTTACCACCAAACACTACCTCGAAGCTCTAGCTGACGGACCAGGGCGTGATTAGGTCACTTAAAGCCCATTATAGAATACTATCTGTTCAAAAATTAATAGATGCAATAGATAAAAAAAGCCTCTTCCAGAATTTACTATAATGGATGCCATGCAAATGCTTGATGTTGTTTGGGGGAAGGTGAAGACCGAAACTATTTGCAATTGTTTTGCTAAAGCTGGAATTTCAGAGAAAATGTGTTTATGCCACAGTAGATAGGGATGATCCCTTTAAGGATCTCAAAGACCGAAGAAAAACCAAAGAATAGTGTATATTTAATGTTTATACTTTAGCATTGAATAAATAAAAATCACATTAACTCAAACTAATATCTCATTTCTGTTAAAGTTCGACTTAATGGGACTTTGCTTAAGTTGAACCATTTTCCTTGGTCCCTTGGAGGTTCGAGTTATTGGGAAATAACTGTCTATATGTGTGTATATATATATATATATATATATATATATATATATATATATATATATATATATATATATATATATATATATATATATATATATATATATATATATATATATATATAGGCCTTGGCGGAAAGCGAGAGCTTTAGCTCTCGTTCTCGCCCACACTCCCCTGAAACAGTTTACGAGAGCTATTTACAGCTCTCGCAAAAGTATAATTTTTTTCATAAAAGTATAATTATCATTTCAAATAAAATTAAAAACACAATGTCATTTAGAAAAAATTAATTGCATAATATACTAAAATGCTTTTTAAAAGGCACAGTTGTTGCAAAAAAAATTAGAATTAAAAAAGAGCGCTGATTTAAATGAGGATCAGCTCGCACAGCTCCCAAGTTTGTTTTAGGAGAACTTTTTTCTGCTCTGGTACTTATTTATTCCCGCCGAGATATATATATATATATATATATATATATATATATATATATATATATATATATATATATATATATATATATATATAATAAAATTGAATAATTTTTATAACTATAACTTTCATTCTATTGCAATAATTAGGTGAAATAAAATGTTTGTTTTCCATTAAAATAATTATATACAAATGTAACAAATTATGTAAAACTATACATAAAAGCTATTGCTACGAGTGCATGTATCTTATCTTCATGGTTTGTGGTTGTCTAATAAAGATTTATTTTTGTGACAACAATTGGATAGGGGTGTCCTGAATGAAAAAAATTTATTATCCGACCAGACATTGAATACCCAGATAGTTAAAAATTATCCGGCCTGATAATGTAATTTAAATCCTAAAATATATATTTCATTATGACAAAATGTTATTGTGATAAACCTTAAAAATGGTGAGTTTTGTTCTTCTTTTTAAAAGGTGCTCAAGGAGTTGATGTTTTTTTAATCACTAGATTGTAAAAAAAAATAATGGCGTTTTAAATTATTTGAAACATGAATAGAAGTCTTCACTACTAAAAGAATTAACATGCAAGTTACGAACACCTTCTGCATCCTCTGTATTTTCGGAAGAGTGTTTTCATTATTTATTAGAAAAAGCAATCAAGGCTAGACATATTAATTTTCCATGTTGAAATAAATATAAATGAGTGATAAACTGATGTATTTATTGCACATATATAGTTTTAGTAGTATTTTAATAATAATAATAACAATATTACAGGCCTTCTCGTAAGAGGCTTGCGATCGCACGCCTTATATGACCACGCATATAGTTCTTTATTTGAACAAGTTGACCATGGCTCATAGCAAGTTTTGATAAGTAGCGCGTTTAAAAAATTGCGCTAAAAAAAAACAAACAAAGCAAATTAAAATAAACAATCCATAAACTTAAAAGAGAATAAAATCCTTAAAATAATATATATAACAAAAATTAACTTAAAAAAGTAAAATATTTAAAGAATGATAAAATAATTTTGCTTTAATTTTGCTTATACAAACATTGCTGTTTGATTAAGATTTTTTAAAACAAGCCCATCTTTTCTAAATAATTTTGCGATCATTAGTTTTTTATTTATTACAAAAAACACTCATTTAAAATGAAAAACAATTACAGAGACTTTTTTTAAACAATACCAAAATATAATTACTTTTTTCAATAGCGTCACTTTTAAAAAATATAGATAGAAAGTAATTATGTTTTACCATGGTTTTTGCATGCGCTCACAGTATGGATAATTTTAGATAAAATAAATGCTTTTGCAAAAACTTCTTTCCAAGATGAGTATTTTTATCAAGACACTATCTCTAGTCTTTACTTAACTAAGAGCCCCTAGTTAGTAGATTTTTTGGTTAGAGTTTTACTCTCCTTTACCTAACCCCTTACCGCCTTTACCTAAAAAAGGAACCCTAAAATACAGCAAAATTTGGGGCAGGTAGTACTGGCTGCATGATGACAGTAGCAGGGTGATCGTGATGATCTTGAACCTGATCTGGATAGATAAAAAACCAAACTTAATTAAAAAGCTATAATTATTTAAAAATAGAGGCAAACATAATATCTTAAAAAAGCAATTCATTTACATTATCTATAACTATATACAATATCAATATAAGATATAGTTATATTAATATAGTTATATAAATGTTCTTGTCTTTTTGTTTTCAATATTTGAATAATTTTTTATTTATTTTTTTTTTTTTTTGAAGGATGAAGTTAAAAAAAGTAAACTTAATCAAATTGACGAGGTTTGTTAAAAACTTTTGTTTAATAACTGTCTTATTTGTTTTTAATACATTTTCAGTAAAATGTGCTTTAAACATTCTGTAATAATAAATAAACTCTTTCTTTGCAATATGTTTAAAAATTATAAGGAATAGTCTTTAAGTTATTTTTTGATTTTATTAGGTTTCCTTTTAATTATGACATTAACCTCTTAAAAAATTTTATTTTCTTTTATCGCTTTAATTAAAAACAATGTCTTTTTCATATAAGATAAAATATTCAATGCCCTCCTTTAATAAAATTGATTATATATTTTTGACTCAAATCAAATAAAGTTAACAAAAAAAACAACAGACAGTTTGTTTGCTATATGATTTGTTGAATGATTTATTGATTGGTTGTAATGTTGTCTGCATTTAATTGGTTACTTGTTAGGCTAACTGAAATACTTCGTTTAATAAAAACTTAGTTCTTTTATAAACAGTTTTTCAAATTAAATCAAAATAGTAAGTAAATGCTTTTATTTTTAACCAATGGCTAGAGTTTAATCAGTTTAGTTAGGTTTTATTTGGGTAGTTATTTTGGTTGTTCAAACCAGTAATTTTGTGTCAAAACTGGCCTAAATGCATCACTGAAAGAAGAAGTTAAAATTATTCTTTAACATCCTTTATATTTATATTGTATATGCCTAAACCCTAATTATCACTCAATATTTTTACTTAAACCCTTATAGATAGCTAATTTAGTGGGATATTTTCAGTTACATTATATATATATATATATATATATATATATATATATATATATATATATATATATATATATATATATATATATATATATATATATATATATATAGTTACATTATATATATATATATATATATATATATATATATATATATATATATATATATATATATATATATATATATATATATATATATATATATATATATATATATATAGTTACATTATATATATATATATATATATATATATATATATATATATATATATATATATATATATATATATATATATATATATATAGATCAGGCCTTGTTAAGAAGCGTTACGCAGCCTTAGATCAGGCCTTAGATCAGGCCTTGTTAAGAAACGTTACGCATAATATATATATATATATATATATATATATATATATATATATATATATATATATATATATATATATATATATATATATATATATAGATCAGGCCTTGTTAAGAAGCGTTACGTAGCTCGCATTTTGCCTGCGAAAAGGCGATTTGCCTACGCGTTAAGCAGTTATGCGTTACGCAAAAACTTTTATCTTTAAGAATAAATTATCTTTTTATATCGTTTATGTGACGTTCATTCAGAAGTATTAAAGTCTTAAGTAAAAGCATTTAACCGCAATTGTAAACTAATAGATTTTTTATTAAACAATTTGTTTAATAATTTTTTTTTTGTTTTTAAAAATTACTTAAAGAAAATAAAGTGTTTTAAGTTTAAACTTTTCATCATATTTAATTTTAAATATTAGATTTCATAAGTTTATAAACAATCAAATTTAAAAAAAGAAATATTTTCAATTTATTTTATTAAATTTAAATATTTTTTTAATAATTATAGTTTTTAGTAAATAAATTTATTAAATTTAATTAAAATTCTTTCATTTAATTTTAAAACAGAGCATTTTAATTTTTTTAATTTTAAAATGCTCTGTTTTTTTTATAAAATTACCAAAGTAAAAAAAGATTTGATAAATTTAGTTCAAGTTACTTTAAAATGTTCGTATTACATATAACTTTATTTTAATTTTAGTTAAGTTTCAGGTAAGTTCCAAATACTGGTCTGAAAGATGCGCATTATTTTCCAGTTTTTATTTTTCCATTATTTTACAGTTTCATTCATTATTTACAGAAGCGCATTATTCATTTTATAACTACAAGTTTATAAATGACGTCAATACTTTTAAACTCGAGTTATAAATGTTATGTTTGGGTTTTCCCTTTGCCGTTTGCCAAAGAATTTTTTTTTATAAAACAAACCAAGGACGTATTAACAATAGGTCCTTGAACAAACTAAAATACAAACCTATTAAAAATAACGTGATCAGTAAATAAACTCTTTAAAAACCCAGCTTATCTTTATTTTATTTTAAAAACAAAACTAGTACTTGAGCTATAAATATAAGATACATAAATTTCAAAATTATAATGATATTTGTTAAAAACAAATTCTGCTTATAACATCTGAAAACCGAAAACACTATTTTTTTTTTGGATTGAGAAAAAAAATATTAGGTTTCACTGTACATAAAAATAAAATAGTTTAATGGAAATAAAAAAAAACAAAGCCGAAAAAGCAGTAAATTTCGTTTCTTTACAACATTTATTTTATCAAAACAAACGTTTTTTTAAAAGGGAAAACCCAATCTATGCATTTAGTTATAAGTACATTTAAATCCCTTTAAGAAAATCAACCATAAACAATTGTTAAATTTGAATTATTAAAAAAAAAAATCAAAAAAAAAACAACCATAAAACGAATGTTTAATAGCAAAAAAATTAATTTTAAATAAGTATAAGATTTTAATACAAGAAGACTTTTTTTTAACCAACATTAAAATTTTTTTTTTTTTATAACAACATTGTACAATTTAAATTTAAAAGTTTCAAAGACTAACAATAGTTTTTAATGTCATTTTAAATTTAATTACAATGAAGTAAAAACGCAACTGACGTAAATTAACTTTTAACAATGTAAATATCTTTATTGAGTAAAGTTACATTTATTCACGTTCAGCTTTTCCGTTACGCAGCGAAATCTCGTAACAAGGCCTGATATATATATATATATATATATATATATATATATATATATATATATATATATATATATATATATATATATATATATATATATATATATATATATATAGAGAGAGAGAGAGAGAGAGAGAGAGAGAGAAAGAAAGAAAGAAAGAAAGAAAGAAAGAAAGAAAGAAAGAAAGAAAGAAAGAAAGAAAGAAAAAGAGAGAAAAAGAGAGAAAAAGAGAGAGAGAAAAATATATATATATATATATATATATATATATATATATATATATATATATATATATATATATATATATATATATATATATATATATATATATATATATATATATATATATATAGGCCTCAGCGGGAATGCAAGAGTAAAAATGTCTGAAATGAACATTGCGAACCATGCTAGCTGCTTTTTGCAATTTCTTTTCTGATAAGTCCAGACCATCTGTTAATGTGAAGGGATATATATATATATATATATATAGTTTGTTTTTGTTGTTTGTTTTTAGTATTTTTAAATTGATCAAGTATTTAAAATATTTAAATTACTTACTTAAGTATTTAAATACTTAAATAGTATTTAAATTAAAAGTTTTTTGTTTTTCTCTGGAAGTTACAGTATTGTTTATTTTGTTTTGTGTGTGTTGCATATTGTGTTGTAAAAAACTTTGAAATGTGGCCGTTACATGCAATGTAATATTTAATGTTGTTGCCCTTGTTCTAAAGCATTTTGAGTTTAAGTTATTTTAATCTAAAGTATTACATGTAATATAGCATATCATTGGCTTAAAATGTTTGTCTTTTTGCAAAATATATTTTAAATTTAATTGTTTTAATTTACAAAACCTAGTTTTATGCCATTTTTTACAAAACAAAAATAAAGATTCTATGCATATAATAAATAAGCATTTAAATAATACACTTTGTCAGAAATGCTTATAACTTTTGAGAAAATATTTTAATGTCAACTCAACAATTTCTCTCAGCCTGTGTGATGGTTTGCTAGATCAATACCGCAATATTCTGTTTGCAGGGGTCGACCACCTGGCATGGTTAAGTTATTTAGGATTTTGACTAGCTAAACCCGATGGACAATGACCAGTAGAAACTGCTGTGCAAATACCAAATAAATTTTTTGGGTCAGAACTAAGAGATTTTTATCTATTTTTGAAATAATGATACTGACAAAAATGTAATTACCTACTGGTATGGTACTACAACATTTGATTTCTCTTCTAATAAGTCCAGACCATTTGTTAGGTTCTGATATAGGCCCATCAAGTTTTTGAATTAGATGCTATAGAGGCAGTTCATTAGTATTATTTGAAAGATAAATAAATGTGAAAGAATAAATGCACCTTTTTTTTCAGTAGTTGTATAAATTTATTTTTGTTTTGTTTTCTGTTTCAAAAAATATATTTTGTTTTTCCCATTAAACTTAAAAAAAGTTTTAAAAATGACAAAAGAATATGACAGTAGAAAAAAAATTATGACAAATATTTAGAAAATTGGAATATAAGCTATGATTCAATAGCAAAAAAAGTTGATGTAAATCCCTACACCTTTAGTCTGTTATTCAACGTTTTTCTCAAACAATGTTGATTAAACGCAAATCTGATGGTGGAAGAAAGAAAGGTTTTCTATATATAAAACTGGCTAAAAAACTAGTTAACAGTTTAAAGATTAACTCAAGCCTATCAATTAGGGAGCGCGCAAAAAGATGTGAATTTTCTCATAGTTTTGAAACAAACATGGTCTTCATTCTTTCAAATTTGTTTTTTTTTGGTAAAGTTTTTTTGGTATAAAATATGCTAAATTTTATTATTTATAATCTAAATTTTATTATTTTGGACTTGTATGTCTGTATGTTTTCTTTAGTTAATGGACTTAATAATGTTTCTATACTTCTGATTGTAAACAAGAAAAATTTTCACAATATATTTATGAGTCACAGTAGGAATCAACTAATTAGGATTTTCTTAAAAAATTAGACATTACTGAGTCATTTTGTAATATTTAAAATCTTTTACAAATCTAATGTGCATAGAATTTTTATTTTTTATTTTTTTTAAATAGCAGAAAGCATATTTTTGTTAAAAAAAAAAAAAACTCTGGCGCCACAATATATATATATATATATATATATATATATATATATATATATATATATATATATATATATACACACACTCACACTATTTTAAAATTAGATATTTTTTTCTTCCCTTCTATCTTAATAATTTTTAGTTTATTGATTTAACATGCCCCAAGATGCTTTTTTCTAACTAACTTTTTCAACTGTTTTCTTAGAAAAAGAAAAAAAAATTCAAGTTGAAAATTATCTTTTTGAAAGAACATCACAAGCCCCTTTATACTGCCCCTACCTACACACATAAATTTAGAATACATATATATACACACACACACACACACACACACACACACACACATACACACACACACACACATACATATTTGTTTAATACCTGAGTTTAAGTAACTAACTGTAATGGATATTGTGGAGTTAGATCAAACCATCTACAAGTTTAATAGGTTTTAAATTGTTGATAAGGAAATTGTTAACTAAGTCAATTTATAGTTGAATTATTAAGTAATTAACACTCGACTATAGTTACTCTTGCATGCCAAGTACAGGAGGAGGGGGTGTAGGAAGTTTAGTCTAGATATAATAAAAAGAAGGGGGTTCTTAATAAAAAGGAATGAAATTATGATAAAACAAGGAATGAAATTTTGATAAAGCAAAATTTCAATACAATTGAAATTATGTTTTATCATAATTTCAATAGGATTGAATATGCTTACATATATTTTATACCTGAGGTGAGGTATCATAATTTTAATAGGATTGAATATGCTTACATATATTTCAATAGGATTGAATATGCTTACATATATTTTATACCTGAGGTGAGGTATCATAATTTTAATAGGATTGAATATGCTTACATATATTTTATACCTGAGGTGAGGTATCATAATTTTAATAGGATTGAATATGCTTACATATATTTCAATAGGATTGAATATGCTTACATATATTTTATACCTGAGGTGAGGTATCATAATTTTAATAGGATTGAATATGCTTACATATATTTTATACCTGAGGTGAGGTATCATAATTTTAATAGGATTGAATATGCTTACATATATTTCAATAGGATTGAATATGCTTACATATATTTTATACCTGAGGTGAGGTATCATAATTTTAATAGGATTGAATATGCTTACATATATTTTATACCTGAGGTGAGGATTAAATCAAAATCTGATTTTTGCCAGTTCAAAATTTTTTATTGGTTTACGGTTTTTAGTTTGATTTACACTTACTTTTTTTTTCAGTTTTAAAAGTTTCTTTGATGATAACAAGTAAAAATTCATAAACAGGGAGAGGTCTTGATAAAGTTGGGGTGGGTGTTAAAATTTTTCAAAAATTAATAAACATCTCCTGTGTATTCGAGAGTAATAATCTAAGAAATCTAACTTTAGAACACTCAATAACTTGAGTTAAGTTTATTTTTACAACTCTTTGTTCCAATTTCTTTTGTTGCAGTTTCTTGGTTAGATGTTTTAGAGTAAAAAGGTTCAAAATAATACTGATATATCCTCATTAAAGGGTTTTCTTCCCCAGAGCAAGGCTCGCTAAAGTCTGTGATTATGTTTAAATGGATTTTGTTTTTAAGAAAAGTTTGTTTTTACTTCTGAAAAGTTCTATTTAATTCTCTTTTATATAAAATCTTTTTTTCCTCCACTCAGTGTTTCTTTAAAGAAAGACTGTTTCTCAGAAATCTTGATTTTTTTTTATTGAGAAAACTGTTTTTGTAAACTATTTATTCAAAATATGTGCCACTTACAGAAAGCACAAATATCTATCAAAGTTGCATGTCATCATTAAAGTATTACTGTAACCATTTAAAATGAGTTTTAAGAAGGATTGATATTGTTATATAAATAAAATGATTTTCTCTTACTAAATGAAATCTGAGAACAGTATTAATAAAAATTTTATTCATTTTACTGCATTGAACTTTGTTTAGGCTGCTAAGGGTTCAGACTGGATATGTACTACTCATAATCTAGTTAATGTTGATATTGATATTCCTGATGAGCTTCTCAGTGATATGACTTATAAACAGTTTAACAAACATGTTCGATCTAAGGTACAGGAATGCAATCCTAAAGCTTCTGGACTCCACATTACTTCATTGGTTGGTGCAAAGTGGCGTGAGTTTAAAGAGCTGTATGGAATAGAATTTAGAAGTGATACACCTGATATAGAGCGTTTAAAAGGAAATTTTTTGGGAAGTCCTTTATCAGAGCCAGAGTTAAAAGAGAGTCATGTAAAATTTTTCTGCTTTTTTTTGTTGACAACAAAATGCCATTGTAAAAAAAGAATTATCAAAGTTTAAAAAAAAAAAAATTATTGACAAAAACAAAATTAAAATGAATGGAGGGCATTAAATAATTTTCTAATTTTAAAACTATTTTAAACAAGTAAAAACAACAGAAATTCTAACATTATTTAGAAAATAACTACTTTTTCCATAAAGGGTGGGACATTGTCTTCATTAACAGGCTTCCAAAGTTCTTATATCATTTACTCTATACTAATGTTAATAAAAATCATTTAGTATAATTTATATAACATTGAGTAAATTGGAGTTTAGTTTTGATATTGTTTGATTTCTTGTAGCCCGGTTCCCCTTATAGTAACTTGGAAAGTGATGAAGAATATTTAGAAGACGAATCTTCCAATGATTTAAAACTGAAAGTTTTTAAAAGAGGGAACAAAGTATTTAGGGTAGTTTTTTTTTTTTTTAATCACTTTGCATAATTATTGTTACCGCTACCGCATTTAAAAAAAAAAAAATTTTTGCCACTTTTTTATGATTGGCAGTCATTTATTTATCAACTTTATATATCCTACATACAAAAGTTTTTTTTTTTTTTTTTTTTTTAAATATATAAATTAGTAGTTGTAAACTTTTACAAAGCTACTGCAATGCTTCTGCTCCTTTATGCATCAATTATATGTTTAAATTGATCTGAAATATGTTATAGTCAAGTAATATTCATAGCATGTTTTTGCAAGTAGTTAAAAAAATTTTCCTCCTAACATTTTGTTTTCGTCAATTTTTTTTTCTTTTAAAACAATGGCACTTTTTTAATTGATATATTAATTTGTTTTGGTAATTCAATCAAGGTAAAACACCATTCTTATTATTTAAATTTTTTTTTTTTGAATCCTTAAAAAAAAAAATCAATTAATAAAAAAATTTAATAAACATTTTCTTTTGTTTATAAAACTATTAAAAGTCCTTTTAGACCATACCAAAAAACAGACCAAATTATAATGGATACCAAAATATTCATTGTGACTGCAATTCTAAATTATTATTATTGTTGTTGTTGTTGTAGTTATTATTGTTATTATATATGCATAAAATTTCAATAGTACCTAATTTATGATAATTTATGGTAGGCTGGTGATCGTAAAACTTCTAGACAAGTAAAAAAAACAGCTAGACAAGGTATTGTCAATTTAGATGAAATAAATCTTGATGAGGTAACCCGGGCTGAACAAGAAGAAGAAACTGAAAAAAAAAAGCATAAAAAAAGAACAGGACCAAGAATCAAAAATACAAAAGATAAAAAAGAAAAGAAAAAAGCTCAAAAAGTGGCAGGGATAGTTAAAAAATCTTCTTCAATCAAAAAAGGTTACAACATATTTTATTTTTATTTAGATTTTAATTTAGGAATTAAGTTATTAATTCCTTAAAACAGGAACCATTTACATGTAATACATAAATAGCATAAACATTTACATGTAACAAGCCTTCCCAGGAAGCATTTGCAGTTGCACAGTTTGTTCATCCACGCTTAAACAGGCTTGGTCAGGAAGTGGGAGCGATCGCTCTCGATTGATTGAAGAAATTAAATTTACTAGATAGAAATCAACTAAAAAAGTTAAAAATACTTTCATGACGAGGAAGCGAAACTGCTTCATAATATTGCTGATGATGTTCAGTGAGTGTGTTTTTTAATTTTAATAAGCAGAAAAAAGTATAACAAGTTTTTAAGAATGGCAACTTGAGTGAAAATAATTAGATTTAATATCTAGAAACTTTTCTTTATATCTAATAATTTATATATTTATATATATTTATGTTCTGTTGTGACCTCAGATGCGGTGCTTGTTCATCCGCGAGTTACTTTGTATGCATAGTTTGTGTTTAGTAACCAGAAACTTCTTATATGTTTGCTACATAATTAGTTTTATTAACTTTAATGATTATTAATAACTTCATTGAAAACGCAATTATTTTTGTAAGTCTTTGTTTACAAATTAAATCGATAAAAAACAGATACACAAAATTACATTTACACAAAAAATACATACTCTTTAAATAAGTATATACTAATAAAATCTACAATTTATAATAAACTTTCAAAATTTTGATAATTTAAATAGTATATATTTATATATATTTAAGTATATATTTAAAACATTTATTTTTGTAAACAAATAATAATAGTTTATAAGATTTATGGCTATGCATGATGTGGCTCCGAGAATGAGCCATAGAATTGATAATATATTCTTAAAACAATCTATGCTAGAAATCTCATAGCATAACAAATCATGAATAATACAATTTTTAAAACATTTCAACAGAATACTCTAGAACAGGGTTGTCAGGTTTTTTTTCGGGCACAAGCCAAAAATGAAACAAAAATAAACCAGAAATAAACCAGACCATAAAAAAAAGGAAAAAATCATAATTTTCTGTTTTGAAGCCTTGTTTATAATTTATATTTTGAAAAAAATTCTTTTTTATCCAAAAATTCATTCTTGAATATTAAAATTTTATTTGTAAGAGAGTGAGGGAGGAGGAGAAGATGAACAATAAAGTTCTAGAGTCTAGAACTTTATTTCGCTTAGTCAGCGTATTTTTTGAACCAATAGAATTAGTTTGTTCGTTAATTTGGCAGGTTTTTAGAGTTCGCGAATATTCTTTTTATTCTTCCGCACCAAGATGTTTTGAAAATATTCAAGTTTTTTTATGTTTCCATGTATGTCCGTTAAAAAAATTTTTTTGTTTTGTACATAAACTTAAATGTCCTCAAAACGACTAAAAAACCAGGCCAGTTTTTTGCAACGAAATATAATTTCCGTGGTCAGTATTTGAGAGCGATCGCTCCCGCTTCCTGGCCAAGCCTGCTTAAAGTAATTTTTTTTAGACTTGACCACATTTTTATATAGCAAGAGTTTTAAGAATTTGCGGCAAAATAAAGCTATAAAACTAAAGAATATAAAACTGCACCACTCAAAAAAAAACGTAAACTAAACAAAATGGAAAATCTAAATAAAATAAGCTAAAAATTAAATATGAAAAAAAGAAAGTTGTTGTCAAAAAAATGATATACCTAAATAGTTTATTGTTTTTGTTTTCTTATTTTTACGGGGTTTGTTATTTTCTACTTCCAAAAATGATACAAGTCCAAGAAAAAAGTAGATAAGAGTATAACGAAAATAAAAATGTTTTTTGATATACAATTTTTTTGCGACTTGATTCAGTCAGTATATTAAGGAAATTTTTTTTTTTTTAAATGTTTTTGCTAAAAATTGAGAAAACTTATTGCTATTTATTTTTAAAAAAAATATTTTTTTAAAACAAGTTTTTTATGTAAAAAAAAATAAAAAGTCATTGATACAAATATTTAAATATAAATTGTTTGGTTGTTTTTAATACCCCCATTGAAATAGTCTGCACTTTTGTAGGATTATCCAAATTGTGCATTTAAACCCGATAGTTTATTTCTTGATGAACTATTGTTATTAACAATGCTTCAAAAACTTGTGGACTAGTGAATTGTTACTGAATTTAACAAAATGTTTAGAGGGGCTTTTTTTAAACTCATTTTTTAAGTTTTTAATTACATTTTTTTAAACAGAGCAATCAATATGTTCATTATCTCTAGTAATTTATATTAACATTGGACAATGTTAAAGAAACAATTTCAGACATGCATCAAATGCGATAAATACATTTATTATAGAAACATGTTGTTCTTTTATTTAACTTATTCCAACATTACAAAAATTGTATATTTATTTTACAAAAAAAAATATTTTACAAATAAATAACAATTTATTTTCTTATTTTTCTATTATATAAGTATTGAGAAAAAAACATCAAATTTAGCCAATACATTTTTAAAAACAAAAACATGTGCAAAACAAATAAATGTAAATAAAAAAATTAACAAAATTTATCATAGTTCTAGTGTATATAGCAAATCAGTTTCTTAATTATGAACTGATAAAAATCATTAATAAATAGCATATCAAAACTTTCAATTAATGTTAAATCGTTATAAAAGATAATGTTATTTCAACAACGACTCTAAAAAAGAAAACAAAAGTTTTATTAAAAAAGTTATTATTTTAATTTACTTTTTTTAATTATTAATTTTTCTAATTTATTTAATTAAACTTGATATTTTGCCACAATTTTGTTTCCTTTTTCCAAAGCGTGCCACCAAATACGCTTCCCAGGTAGGCTTGTGTTATACATAAATAACATAATCATTTACATGTAATACATAAATAACATATCTACATGTAATACATAAAATAAAAGGAAAAATAAAAATGGTAATGCAGTTTTCTCCGTTTGAAATTTAATGCCAGCGCACGAAAAAGCACTGACCGGATGGTCTTTAAGTTAGTCTGCGCGGTTTAAAAAATTAATTTTTTCTGCCATTTAAATTAAAACAAAAATAGTGAAAAGAATGTTTTGAATAAATACTAGATAAAATGATTAAAAAAAAAACTACTAAAAAAAACGTTTTTCATAAAAGTTGAACAAATGAACAAAAAATTTTTTTTTTTTTAAATTTAAATATAAAAAAAAATTTATTTGAAATTGCAACAAAAAATTTTGTTTCAATTTAAAATAAAATGCTTTTATTTTTTTGGCTAGTGCTTTTTTATGTGCTTGCCAAAGTTTTTGCAGGCGTGTGGGCAAGTGCGAAAAGTCTTGAGCGCGAAAGCGCTGGCTAAACAAAGAAGACTGGCAATAGTTAAGTTCACTAAGGAATTCACATAAAGTAATCATATAAGGTAAATCTGACTGAAAGAATATATGCAATATATGATGCAACTATTAGTGTTAGCTGAAAGACATTTAATTGAAAGTAAAAGTTTTAAATATGATTTGCCTTCTTTAATTATCTTTTTTTTTTAACTTTTTGATTTTTATTAAATATGATTTTTTTTCAATAAAGATATTAAAATTTATTGTTGATACAAAAAACTTGAATCTAAATTAGTTCTATTAGAATCTAAAAAGAAGCTTCATCAATAAATCATTTAATGATTAGTTGATGTCAATTTAATTGGCTTAATTTGGCTTTATCATGTTTAATGACTTTTATAAAATGTATTCACATTCTCAAGTCCATTTAATTTTTTTACAGACTTTTTTATTTCCTATTTTCTGAAGTTGTTTAATAAGGACGCTTCATAGAGTTTTGAGTTATTGAGAGTTATTCATAAATTTACATTTCGTTTTAAAAAAGTGAACCTGTATTGAATTTTGTTAATAGCATTTTAGTTAAATATACTTTTTATGTATTAGCTGTTAAAGGTGAGACTCTTCCAGAGCCAATCCATAATTCAGTGTGTGATGTGTGTGGTGAAGGAGGAGATATTTTATTGTGCGATACTTGTACTTGTGTTTGGCATTTAACTTGTTTGGATCCACCTCTTGATGAAGTTCCTGAAGGAGATTGGAGTTGCCCCAAGTGTGAGGTAATTATCAAGTTGCTTAAGGTTTAAGTTATATATCTGTGTCTGTGTTTGTGTTTGTGTTGCAATTTAAGAGTAGATCATAGACATTGTTCAAATATGCAAATATTCATTTAATAAATGCCACATAAATGAAATTAAATGATTTTTTTGTTATATAAATTTTTTATTTCAAGAATTTTTAAATTAATAAAAATTTTAATTTATATGTAAAGGACAAAGTCCTTTCCATCACATTACCAACACGTTGCATGTGGGTAATGTTATCTCTAAAATTTTAATCAATGGAATTAATTGAAATAAAATGAACAAAAAAATTTTACTACAAAGGACATTCAAATTTTTTAGCTCCATAAAATATGTTACTGAAATATCTTTATAACAAAAATGAAATATCTTACTACACAATTAAACTCATTCAAATATTTTTGTAAATTAGAGTAACCAGTTATTTTTTTATGTAAGAGTATTTCTTGATTACTTTGCAATCAAGTGAAATATATGCGATAGCAAAACCAAGAAAAATTTGCTTTATAAATTAGCTTATAATTATAAAAAATGCTGTGAGGAAAGTCATTGTTGCATGAACTTGTTTCTCCACCCAGCGGCCTTTTTTGTCAATATTCCTGTTTTGGAGTTTAAATGGAGTTTTGGAGATTAAATAGAGTTTTGGAGTTTAAATGGAGTTTTGGAGATTAAATGGAGTTTTGGAGTTTAAATAGAGTTTTGGAGTTCAAATGGAGTTTTGGAGTTCAAATGGAGTTTTGGAGTTTAAATGGAGTTTTGGAGTTTAAATGGAGTTCTGGAGTTTAAATGGAGTTCTGGAGTTTAAATGGAGTTTTGGAGTTTAAATGGAGTTTTTGGGTTTAAATAGAGTTTTGGAGTTTAAATAGAGTTTTGGAGAATAAAGAGTTAAGTAAGCGTTGTAATCACATGGTTCTCTAGTTGTCCTCTAGTCCTTGGGGAGTTTAATATCATTGAATATATATATGTATATATATATATATATATATATATATATATATATATATATATATATATATATATATATATATTAAATTTTATATATATTTGTACACTAAAGTTAAAGAATTATTCAAGCTATTTTTGATTTTAATAACAGCCTGTTGAAACAGTTTTACAATTTCCTTGATTTAATCAAGTTTTAATGAGTACTTTAGAAAGATAATGTATCACAAAGAAAGAAACTTTCTTTGTAAAATTCACTTCCTTTTTTAATAGTTTAAAAATAATTTTACTTTAGACAGTGTTTAGTAGTTTTAAAAATTAGTTTTCTACTTTCTTTAGCATACTTGAGAATAATTGGGCTGCATAATTTGGCAGAATTAGTTGGGTTTGCCCAAAACACATCTAGTCATGTTAGAAGTATATAACTGTAGTAGAAAAAACCAATCATCAGAAAAATTTTCAAAATAAATCAAACTTTTGATTTAGTTAGAAAAAAATGACTGTTTCCATCAAACCCCCATTTTACAACAAAAATCAATTGAATTAAGTCTTCTTTATTAGTGACTTTAGATATGATATTAGGTGGTGCCTCTTGTGGTTCTACTTTTCTTTGAACATTATGAATCAGAAGATCTTGTAATAGCACATTTCTTTGTCGTCACATTAGCCTCTTTGTTAGATTGTTAGAGATGTAAATATTATTTGGTCTGCTTTTTTTTCTTTCTTTTTTTTATTGGAATTTTTAGAATATTACTATAAACCAGATAAATTTGAGTTTACAACACCACCTTTACTTACACAACTTTTTTACATTCTAATTCCCATGTACTGAGATTCAGTAAAACTAAAACTAATGAAAAAAAAAGCAAGCTCCTCTTCAGAAAACATTTTCAATTCTTTACTAATGTTCTTGGTAATATCATGCACCAAATAGTGATGTTCTTTAGAATTTTTCAAAGAATTTTCTTACTTTGTGTTGCTTTCACTCTGAAAGATTTGAAACTACCATTCATTTAGCTTATTTATTCCTTTGTCTTTAAAAGGTGACCTATGCTGCCAACTTTTTAATTCTGGTGTTTCTGATTAATTTAAATGCTTCTAGAAAAGTTCTTTGTATTCTAAATTATATTCATGTTATTACCAGGAAATTGACTTCCTTTGAAATGTATACTTTTTTTTTTAATTTAAATTTACATTCCCAAGGCCACAAAGACCACTACAGTCGAGGAGGCTAATTTTAATTGTAGTTACAACCTTTTTTTAACTCCAAAATACAAACCTTGACAAATAAAGCTACTACACAGAGAAACAAGTTGAGTGCGGTTTTACCAGGGACAAACATGGAACTTCTCACTTATGAGGCAAGCACTCTACCACTACAACACTACCGCAAACTTATTAAACTTGTTTAGAAAAATTATTTAGTTAGTTAATTAAGTCACACAAAGCCAAAATCTTATTAAACTCATCATCAGCTGAATCAAATTCATCACAGCCTTGTAAAACTCATTGTTATTAACTCTTGCATCAGCCACTTTATGTGTTATTTACAGTATTATGATGAGATGTAGTAACTACAATAATTGAAAATTGTCCAGTAGTTGTTTAAATTTATCAACTGATGTCTCCTCAATATCACTTTCTGGCAAAACTTTTCAGTTATTGACTACATGATTGTTGAAAAATTTATGTCTGACTTGAAAATTATGTTCCTGACAATCTTGTGATGAAATCTAATTCGATGTTGAGCTCTGGGCACGATGCTGCAAAGCTTTACGTGCCAGTCAATTAGGTTTAAAATGTTAAGAAGCTTATATTGTTAATAAGATTGCCTCTTTTTGATCTGTCTACAAGAGAAGTTAAATTTATCATTTTGCATCAAGTTTTGTAGTCTTTACTTTTTAAAGCTTTAGGTAGTTTTTTTTTAGTTTTTTAAAAGTAAAAGACCTAAAAAAAAACTTATTTAGATTCGGTTTGTAATGTTTTTTTTTTTTTTTTTTTTTTTCTTGAACACCTTCTATTTTTGTAACATTCTTGTTCTCCAAAAATTTTTATATAAGTATATATAATTTATGAAGAATTCACAATCAATATATCATCAAATAATAAAAAAAAAATTTTATCATAACTTACCACCCATAGATTTTAAGTATAAAAGATGCCAATTATTTGTTAAATTAAAAATGCATAAAAAAATTATATTTTACCATTTTTATGTTGTTTTTTTTTTTTTTTTTTTTTTTTTGTTACAATCTGGTATACGGTATTTGGCTGAATTTTGGCTGAATACTGATTAGTAAAAGTAAATGAATAGTAGCCAAATGGGCTGAATACAAGTCACCAAATATTTGTGGCATCTCTAGTTATAATGATTTATAATAATTGTAATAATTTATATTAATTTATATATATATATATATATATATATATATATATATATATATATATATATATATATATATATATATATATATATATATATATATAGTTTTTCATATAATTATTTAAAGGATGAGTTAAGTGGTCCAGTTGAAGAAGATGAAGACGATGAAAACTTTCATGGTGATTATTGCAAAATATGTAGAGATGGCGGAGAGTTGTTGTGTTGTGATTTTTGTCCTGGTACATATCATATGCGTTGTGTAAAACCACAGCTTATTACTGTTCCTGAAGGAGAATGGAAATGCCCTTTATGCAAAGTAGATAAACTGCCTGGAAAAGTTGAGCGGATTTTGTTTTGGAAGTTCCTAACTCATACTCCTACAAGTAAAATTTTGTTTTAATAAAAATAAAATGTTGTAATTTTTTTAATAAAAAAAGGTTTATTAAAAGTTAATAAATGTTAATAAATAAATTTGCTAAATTTAAGTAGTTTGTTGCATATTGTATTAAATAAAAACATATTGTATAGTATTGTATTAAATAAATAGTATAGTATTTTATTAAATTATTTTGTTGTTGTTGTTGTTGTTGTTATTTTTTATTCTCCAGTTAATAACTAAATGTTCAAGAATATCAAATGTTTGCAAAAAATCTTTGAATGTTAGATAAATATTACTATTGTTAAAAATTCAACAAACAAGAAATAAGAATAAAAATAAACTGCAATATATTTCATACTGTGTTTTAACATCTATTTTTTTTTAGAAGAAGAAATTGCTGCTGGTGCTAAAGATGAACAATATAAAGTCAGAAAATTCTTTGTCAAATATGCAAATATGTCATATTGGAATTGTCATTGGATTGACGAGTTGCAGGTTTAAAAATAGTTCAAACAAGTTGATTTTTTTCAGATAAATTTGACATTCATTTATTTATTTTAATTACATTTAATATTTCCAGTTTAAAGGTCTGTGGCAGGTTTAAATATTGTTCAATTCATACAAAACTTAAGTAAATGTTAAAGTTTAATAGTTAGAAGTTTAAAGTAAATTTAAGGCTTAAAAGTTGAAAATTAATTGTTTTATAATTAAAGGTTAGAAACATGTCAGAATAGGCCCTTTTTTTGCCAAAATAAAGCAGAAGCAGTTGTTTTGTTTTGGTAAAACAAGTTAATGTTAAATCTTTATTAACATTAAGTTAAAATTTCACTTATATGTTATTTACTCTAAATAGTGCTTACATTATATCATAAAACACAATTTAATTTTAAATTAAACAGCTATAGAGGTAGATACTATGAAAAGAAAATCTGAAAGATCTGCATACTTGACTTGCATTCTTTTATTTATTTAGCTTAATAATTAAATTTTATTTAAATATATTATCTAAAGGCAATTTAAAGCAAGAACTAGTAAAACTGTATAAAATATTTGAGATGTTTGTTTGAACAGTTATAGAGTTTTTAATCAAAAATTAAAATTCAAAAAAAAAAAATCATTAGATTATTGTTGTACATAGTGTATTACTTTATTAGTATTATTATATTTAACCCTCAGAATTAGGGTTGGCATTTGGCAATGCTAACTGCTGGCTTAAAAGTGTTTGAGGTCTGCAAAAAACTGCGGGCCTCATGTTTGTTTTATGGTAAACCCTTTGTGTCATTTGTTTTATGGTAAACCCTTTGTGTCAAATTTTTTTGCCAACCTAATTCCGACCTCTTACAATTTAAGGTCAGCAATTTATTTACCGATCTCATTTTTCCTAACTCCGAGTGTTTTATATTATTATATTAGTAGTGCAATATGCTAAATTAGTATACATTAACATATTACTATATTAGTATTATATATAATATATAGTATTTTATTATATATGTTATAAGCTTTCCATTTTAGCTTGAGAAATATCATATCTCCTTATTTCGATTTTTTTGTCGCAAAAATGATATGAATGACCCTCCAATGACAGAAGAGGGAACTGTTGAGGAGGGTGAAGACGTCAATGTTGATGAGGTTGAACATAAGCGAAATCTTGATGGCAGATTTTTTCAGTATGGAATTAAACCTGAATGGTTGCAAATACACAGAATATTATGGCACAAGTAAACATATTAAACTTAAATTATAAAAAATGTTATATTAAAAAAGATTGCTTTGAAGGTTCTAGATGTAATCAGGTTGAAATAATTTATGAGGGATTATGAAAAAACTGCTAAATAAATTTTTTAAGAAATCTTCTTTTATATAGGGAGTAGTTAATTTCTTGAGAAGGTTTTATAAATTCATTTTTGTGTCTAGAGAAGTTAAGAAAAAAATCCAGTATCTTGTAAAATGGAGAGAGCTTGGCTATGAAATGAGCACATGGGAGTTTAAAGATGATGAATGCAATAAAGATATTGAGTATTTTATAATTAAATTTTTATTTTATTTTTATTTAGATTTATATTATTATTTTATCTCTAATTTCTGTCAAATTTTTATTTATATTATTTAGTTGTTAATTATTTGTCAATGATTGTTAATCATTGACTTTTTTATATATTTTTTTAATTTTTAAATGAATTTTAATGTTTTAGTGACTTTGACAAGTATATTGAGATATACAACAATTTAAGGTATATTTAATAGAACACAAACATTTTGAAAATAGATGCTTTTTTTAAATATATTATTTCAGTGTTACTTTTCGTTTTATGTTTAGAGCTCAATACAAAAAGAAGTTAAAGAAAAAAGATAAAGTTAAGTCAAGTAAAAAAAGAGAGGGCTGGGTACAGTAAAAAATATTTTTCATGATTAGTATAATTCTATTATCTGTGTGTGTGTGTGTGTGTGTGTGTGTGTGCGCGCGCGTGTGTAATGTGGTGATCACAGAAATAGCACACTTAACAGTTTTTTCATTAGAGTTAATATAGTTTCTTTCTTTAATAGGGAAATTTTAAAAAATATTAAATAATAATTTCCATTTATTAACTTAAACAAATCATTTCTAACAGAAGTATAACTATAATAATTGAAAAGTTTACTAAATACAACGAAAAGTTGCGGTCATAGAAATATCACATCAAACAAAAAAAGTAGTGTTGTATAAAAGTCTAAATCAAAATATTAAAACTAATATTTATATATTGTTGATGGTATCGCATCTTTGTATTTGTATTGATCTAAATTTCCATCATTTTTTGACCAGTGGACCAATACCATGCCAGGACATAGTACCCCAAACTTTAATATTATTCTCACTGTGCTTCACTGTCTTTAGACTAGGTTGTTTTCTTGCTTCATAGGACGCCTATGAAGGCTTGATGACTTTCCTATCATACTGGAAGCAATTAAGCTTGGATTTATCAGAGCAATGTTTATTATTCCCCATGTTCAGTTACAACAAGAAAGTTAAATGTACATTACAAATAATATTTACTTTTTTCAGTACTTACTTTGTCTTGTTTCAGTACTCATGTGTTTTCTTGAAAAACTCTAATTTTTGATAATAAATGGAGTACTCCACTCGTGCTATTTCTTTAAGCACTTTGGTACAATGAAATTTAACAGTAAAAGTTTTTTTTATCACATTGTTGTATTTATATCCAAACAATAATTGCAAGTTCCAACTTGTAAATTATTATGAGAATTACATTACAATTAAATACATAGAAATGCTATAAAATCAAATTAAAAGAAAATATTATGAGGCATGCTATTTCAATGATTATCACTGTATATTTGTACCTAAAACATAGTTTCTTTAATATTGGTTTAGATATATCTTTAGATACTTTTATACAGATCAATCCTTTGCATATGCATTGTGATAGACAGCAAGATTTAAGAAACCAGTTTATATAGTTTACTTATATCTTTTATTTAGGAGTATGATATCCGACCAAATGGCTACAGTTATACTAACCAACCTTCTTTTATTACTGATACTGGAGGAATACTTCATGAATATCAAATTGAAGGAATCAATTGGATACGTTACTCGTGGGCTCAGAGGGATAACACTATACTAGCAGATGAAATGGGTCTTGGAAAAACTATCCAAACAATTACTTTTTTAAATTCATTACTTTCTGAAGGTCGATCAGAGGGGCCTTTTTTAATTTGTGCACCATTATCAACCATTGTAAATTGGGAGAGAGAATTTGAGTTTTGGGCACCAAACATGTATGTTGTTACATATTCTGGTAATAGAGAAAACAGACAAGTCATAAGGTAAGATTTATTTGGTTAAATATGAAAAAAGTTCATTATTTAATAAAATGTGTACATTTCTCTATTATTATTTGAAACTCTATGTTATTATTCTTTTTAACTTACATAAAATAAATTATAAAACAGGAATTATGAAATGACTTTTGATGATGATTCAATGCGTAAAGGTCAGAAAGCTTATAAAGTCAAAAAAGATGTAATCTGTAAATTTCATGTTCTGTTAACATCGTACGAGTTAGTTGCAATCGACGCAAACACATTGCAATCTATTGATTGGAAAGTTTTAGTTATTGATGAAGCTCATAGACTTAAAAACAACCAATCACGAGTAAGGCGTTTTTAAATTTTTTTTTGATAATAAAATTTATTGTTTATTAGTTATTTAAAATCTTACAGTTTTATTTAGTTCTTTCGTACTATGACCAGTTATAATATTGATTACACTTTGCTTCTAACTGGTACACCTCTTCAAAATAATTTAGAAGAGCTATTTCATTTGTTAAACTTTTTATGTCCAGATAAGTTTCAGTAAGTTTTATGCTAAATTATTAACTGTTATAATATTTTGTAGCTAATTTATCTTCTGTTTAATTGGTGGTTTTATCTGCCTATTTAAATAAGTCTTAATTAGTTTGGCTTAATTAATTTTATATTTAATTTTATATTGTGTGTGTATATATATATATATATATATATATATATATATATATATATATATATATATATATATATATATATATATATATATATATATATATATATTTATATATATATATATATATTTATATATATATATATATATATATATTTATATATATATATATATATATATATATATATATATATATATATATATATATATATATTTATATAGTATATTCATTTTATATAACTAAATAAATTCAAATAAATTCATTTTATATAACTAAATAAATTCATGGACTATTCACTCTTATGATCATATGATCAGCATGTTTAATAAGTAGTAATTAACCTATCCGTGTATTTGCACTTATCACAAGGATACAAGTCCATGTTCCTGATAGTTCCTGGCTCATCTTGTTTCTCGGCACAGCTGCCTTGTTTGCCAAGGTTCATGTTTCAGAGTTAAAAATTTAGGGAGGGTTGTAATCACAATTAAGTAGCCTCCTTAACTTTAGTGGCCCTTTCAGCTTTGGGGAGGTGAATTACATTTAAAAAAAAAAAAAGTAGTTACTAGCTTTTACTGTGTTCGCACTTACATCAAGTATCAGCAAGTATATTTTAAAAAATACTAACCTTTACATGTATTCCTACCTACTACATACTGTAAAGTCATGTTTTTGACAACTGAAATGTAATTTTTTTTAAAAAAGTTGATGTTTGCTAAATTTGTTTGAATTTAGAAATCGTGAAAACTTTTTAGCTGAATTTGAGGATATAGCCAAGGAGGACCAGGTTATTGCTTTTTAATATTTGTAATATATATATATATATATATATATATATATATATATATATATATATATATATATATATATATATATATATATATATAAATATATATATATATATATATATATATATATATATATAAACTTTAATATATATACATATATACATATACATATAAGCAAGCCTTCCCAGGAAAGGCGTGCGGTTTTTCGTCTTGAAAAAAAAGAAAATATGTATCGTCATCTGTTTGTAAAATATATTTGTATAATTATAATTTAACAAGTTTATATCAAGAGTTAAATTATACGATCACGATTTGCAAATTCTGGTAAAATATTAGGTCTTTAAAATTTTAGACCATGCAAAGTTGTGTACTTTGTTTATAAGGAGCAAATTATTAAAAGTTTGCTAGCGAGAAAGTTACAAAAAACAAAACAAAAACAATAAACTTACGACTATAAAAGTAATAACACTTTAGTCACTAACTGCATTATAAAAGTGGTAAAACTATAATAGTGTTATTACATTTATAAAGCACTTATTACTTTTAAAGTTCATTCTTTGTTCAAACAACATTTTTAATTCCAAACATTTATTTAAGTAGAAAAGCATCTAGAAAAAATAAAGCGGTTATTCAAATAGTTTTTAAAATTTCAGGAACTTGCACAGATCACTTAAAGGGATCCCAAACTCCCAACACATGTTGTGTTCATATTAAAGGTAATTTAAAAAAAAAAAAGGTTTGAACCAAGTTTTTTTGATTAAAAATAAATAATGAATGCATACCGAGAAAAACTAATGTTGTTGTTTTAGCTGAAGCTTGCCTTCTCCATTTTTTTCAATAACTCGGAGACTTTAAATTATACGTCGCAATCTACAGGCTTTGGCGATTCCTATAAAGCGCGTTTAATTCGTAAAAGTTTTAGCTTTTGACGTCACGGTAGATTTTTAACAAAAGAAAAGTGTAATGCGTTTTTATACTTTAATTCAAAAAGTATGATGTAGTAATTTTTTTGTAGCAAAACAACTTTTGCAACAAATTTTTGTAAAAATAAAAAATAATCAAAGCTTTTTATTTCATAGGAGGAACTTTTTTTTTACCGATATCTTATTAATTTTTAGATTTATATATCTAACTTATAATTCTTTTGTTTTTAAATTAAAACAAATATTAAAGCTTTACTTACTTATGATTTTCATACAATTGTTTTACATTATATAGAATGTTATGTATACGGCCTCTCGCTTTTGTGCAAGAGCGCAGTATTATATATTCTGAATCTTACTTATTTTTATTTAAACAGTGAAAACTATTTTCTAACTTCTGGTTATTTTTACGCTATGATATTTTTTGTTTTCCCATTGAAAAAAAGTATTTATTAACAATTAATTTCATAAACTGACAGTATGAATTAAAGGTAATTGATGAATTGTTAAATTTTTTTATTATAAAATTTTTTTGATTATGCTGGTTTATTTTAAATTGCTAAATTTGCTGAATTGGATACGGATAAAAAGGAAATATCATTTTATTTTACATTTGATTTTTGATAATGAAACTTTTAAAATGTCGGCAACTCCATACCAATTAGAACCTGTTAAGGTTATGAAAAAAAAGTACAAGAATACACTAAACAATACAGTTGACAGTAGTATCAGATATGAAAATATCTGATACTACTGTCAGATATTTTCATATGAATATGAAAAAACTAATATTTAACAAAAATACGGACAAATTATTATTAAATAACGCAATAATTAACACATTAATTAATGACAATAATTCAAGATAAATGGTAATTTAAATTGTTAAAATGTCATAACGCGCGTTAAAAACATATTATATTTGGTATTTCCAATTTATGTCGTGTTTGGCATTTGTCTCTCAACATGAAAAATTAAAAAAATTTAAAACACAATAAACAAATACAAATTTTCAAGCAATTTTCTCTTCCAATTTTCATTTATTCAAATTTTTATGGTTTTTATGGTCCATTAGTAACACTTTTCATAATGCTTAACTTTTAATACGATACGTTTTTATAAAGTTGTTTGTCACGTTTTTATAAGTTATTTAAGTTTTAATATTATTTGAACATCCACTTTATTCTTCTAGATACTTTTCAACTTCAATTAAAATTTGGGAATACTATTGTTGCTTGAACAAAGAATGAATTTTAAAAGTTATAAATGCGTTATAAAAGTAATAACACTATTATAGTGTTTATTACTTTTGTTATGCAGTTAGTGACTAGAGTGTTATTACTTTTGTAATCGTAAGTTTATTGTTTTATTTTTTATTTTTTCGCTAACAAATTTAAGTTGATTCTCCCCTTAATAACAAAGAACTCGGTTTTGTATAAACTAAAATTTTGAATATTAGATATTTTTCCAGATTTTGCGTTTCGCATTCACTTAACTCAACCCTTGTTGTTACATTAAAATTATACAAATAAATTTTACAAACACATTGCAATTTGTATTTTTGCTATCCTCTTAAAAAAAAAATTAGGAAAAGAAAAATCATTCTTTTTCTTGTGAACTTCAAACTGTTTGTTTTTTTTGCTTCGCCTTATCTAATTTTGTTCCTGAATGTAACAACCACTCTAAAGAAACAAAAGTAAAAACAGTACACAAGTTGTTTAAATTATTAATTTTTTTTTATTTTTTTTTATTTCAATCTTTTTTTATTTTGTTAGTTTTTTTTTTGTTTTTTTTTGAAATTTTTTCAGCATTATTATGAAACTTGCAAACAACCGTTTTCAAGTTGTCTAAAATAATATACTCGCGTGTGGTCACACAAGACGAAAAACTGCACGCATTTCCTGGGAAGGCTTGTATAAGTATATATTATTTATACATTACACCTACAACTATTAAATTTAAGAACAAATAAAATTATAGAAAACTTTCTTTAGATAAAAAAACTTCATGAAATGTTAGGCCCACATATGTTGCGTAGGTTAAAAGGAGATGTTCTTAAAGATATGCCCAGTAAAAGCGAGTTCATTGTTCGAGTTGAACTGAGCCCTATGCAAAAGTATGTTTTTAATGTTTTGTTTAATTGATCTTACTATGAGTAAAACATAAATATGATCTTTTTAATTATAGGAAATATTACAAATATATTCTAACAAAGAATTTTGGTGCACTAAATACACGAGGCTCTCAACAAGTATCTCTTCTTAACATTGTGATGGAACTAAAGAAGTGTTGCAACCATCCATATCTTTTCTCTACAGCTTCATTAGAGGTGCTATTTTACACAAAAAAATTTTGTCAGAAATTGTGATTTAAAATGTTTTAAAAAATGTTAAAAAAATAAATTATGTCATCTTAATCAGGAACATCCATATTTTTGAAGTAATTTTTCATCTTAATCAGCAACATCCATATTTTTGAAGTAATATACTTCAAGAATATGGATGTTAATCGTTTTTATTTTATTTACTTTATTTTTATATACTTTTATTTTACTTTAAATTATTCTAAAATTTTAAGTGTTATAAGCTTTTACAGTTTTTAAAGTATTTTGTCAAAATCAATTTTTGAAAACTTTTTTAGATAGTGTTTAATACAGTCTAATATAGTGTTTATTAAAAAAAATGCATTATTAAAGTGAATATTCCAAAGTTATTATTTGTAATTATTTATATATTCTACTACTGTTTCACCATTATTTTTTTAAGTTTACTTGAAATATCTAAGGTATATTGTATATATTTATGTGCAATTATATACCTAAGTATATTTTATATAATTTCTTCCGCAAAACAAGTAATTGAATTAGTGGATTTTTAGGCTCCTCGATATGCTAATAATGCGTATGAAGTAAAAGGTTTGACTGAGGCTAGTGGGAAGTTAGTTCTTCTTTATAAAATGCTGAAGAAACTGAAGGAACAAGGTCATAGAGTTCTCATATTTTCACAAATGACAAGAGTGCTTGATCTTTTAGAAGATTTTATGGAGGGGCATGGTTGGCGATATGAACGTTTAGATGGTACTATCACAGGTGGTATTCGACAATCTGCTATTGATCGATTTAATCTACCTAATTCTGAAATATTTAGTTTTTTATTATCAACACGCGCTGGTGGATTGGGTATTAATCTTGCTACTGCTGATACAGTATTTATATATGATTCTGATTGGAATCCACATAACGATATTCAAGCATTCAGTCGAGCACACAGGATTGGTCAGCAGAATAAAGTTATGATTTATCGATTTGTCACAAAATCAACAGTAGAGGAAAGAATTACACAGGTTTTTTTTTATGTTTTATTTGTTTATGTTTAGTTTTTCGTTTTATAATTAAAGTTTTTTTTTCATAATTCATTTTTTTATTAGGTTGCCAAAAAAAAGATGATGCTAACTCACCTTGTTGTTCGGCCAGGTCTTGGATCAAAAGCAGCACAGTCTATGTCAAAGCGAGAGTTAGATGATATCTTGAAGTTCGGAACAGAAGAAATGTTTAAAGATGATGGAGGTTTAAAAAAAAAATTTAATGATAAAAAAAAATCATTTTTATAATTATTTTATATTATCATTGAATTTGTGTGTGTGTGTGATTATTTCTCTGTTATTTTTTATAGATGATTCTACAGGTCGTATTGTTTACGATGATAATGCTATTAACATGTTACTTGATCGTTCTAATGAAGGTATAATGGAAAAAGAATCAGGGATGGATGATTATTTATCATCATTTAAGGTATTATTAATGGTTATAAAGGTTTTAAAAGGATTAATAAATATTTGGTTATATTTTGCTTAAATTTAGCTTTACCATTAATATGTAGTTTTTTTATATAAAATAGATTGAATAATATAACACAAATTATAAAATTCAATTAATTTTAATTTCTTTTAAGGTTTATTAAGATTTCAAGATTAAGTTTTTTATTTAGTTTTCAAATTTCATTTTTGTTTCGGTCACAATAGTTATACAGCAGTTAAAGTGTAAACAAGTGTGCTAGCAAAAACTGCTGTAATTTCAAAATAGATTTAAAACATATAATTACATGATTTAATAAATATTAAAATTTTAGATTTTATTTCATAAAAACTTTTGTTTTTTAACATTTTTTAAAAAGTTATGTTTTTTACAGAGTTTTTTTTTTTTTTTTTTTAATTTTTTAGACAAGTTTTTATAAAAAATGATTACTATTTTTGAAACTTTTATAAAATTTAGCTTTTATATTAGGGACCTAAGTATATTAATACTAAGGAAATATTAAAACACTTAGGTATATTAATATGCCTATTTATATGATCTTTAAGTATTTAAATATTTAAGGGTCAGTTGCAATCCCTAAAAACATTTTTATTCAAAAAAATTTTAAATCCACTGTTATTTTATTGAGTAGAACAAATAGTAGTTTAACAACATAGTTTTTCAAAAAAAAGTAATTTTCAACTCAACTGTGCCAGTTGATTTTCACCTCACCCGTGTCATGATTGATTGCCAAGTTTAATTTGTGCATACCAGTTGATAAAGTTTAATTTGTTGAGAAGTTTTTATTTGTTGAATAAGATTGCCTTTTTTCTTCTTTTTGAATAAGTTTGCCTCTTTTTCTTCTTGGTGAATAAAACCCCCTTTTTTCTTCTTGTTAAATAAGGTTGCCTCTTTTTCATCTCGTTGAATAAAGTTGCCTTTTTGTTTCTCGTTGAATAAGGTCACCTTTTTTTCTTCTTGTCGAATAAGGTCACTTCTTTTTCTTCTTGTTAAATAAGGTAGCCTCTTTTTCTTTTTGTTGAATAAGGTCGCCTCTTTTCTTTTTATTGAATAAGGTCGCCTCTTTTTCTCTCATCAAGAGTAGTTAACTCTATAATTTTTCTTCTAGTCTTTATTTTTTAAATCTTGAGAGATTTTTGTGTTGTTGTGGTGCATTTTTCAATTTTTTTTTTACTTTACTAAAAAGGTAAATAGTCTGATATATGAACTATTAGGTTTTTTCCAAATGATAGTGTTTCTTGATACATACTGGTCTGTAGTTGGCTGGATCTGTTCTGCTGCATTTTTCTATTTTAATTTTTTTTTTTTTTTTTGTATAGAGGATTTGATCTTTTTAAAATAAATTTATGACATGCTTCATTATAGAGGTTAGACCAAATTAAGTATGATTCTTATATCCATTATATATCTTGCCAATTTATTATAATTAAATAGTATTTCATCATAATTGATCTATTTGTAAATAAATTTTAGATTATAACTGCCAGCTGAGATTTTTTGTTCTTGTCATTCTTAAAATTAAAGTTGTAGTTGACTTTGTACAAATCTGTTTATTTGTTTTTTTGTATCCTTCTTGAGCCTATTTCAAAGTTTACTTCAAAGTTTACTTTTTAATACTAATGTATGAATTTTTAAAAGCAATGCTTCTTGACATAAAAGTTTTTTCTTGTTTGTTTCTTGTGTTAATAACTAATTCTAATTGTTCAAACTAAAATCTTTATTTTTAATAATTTGTTAGTTCAACATTCTTTTGTTTAATTTTTTTTTAGGTTGCTAGTTATACTGTAAAAGATAAAGATAAACCTGATGTTTAAAATTTTTTTAGGTTGCTAGTTATACTGTAAAAGATAAAGATGAACCTGATGTTGAAGTACTTAAAGTAAGTAAATAATTTATCATAAACTCTTGTAGTTTATGATAGTTTAGGTATTAAGTTAATATTTTTTATATATTTTAACATATATAGCAAGAAGCAGATACAATAGATGCAGATTACTGGGAAAAGTTACTTCGACATCATTATGAGCAAGAACAAGAGTATGTGGCTAGCACTCTAGGAAAAGGAAAGCGTATTCGAAAACAGGTAATAGATAAATATGTAATCTATAAATGTATGATTAATAACAAAAGTAATCCATTGAGTTATCAAATAATAATTGATAATTCATTGCTAAGGAGATATAAATTTTAGTTTAAATAAACTTTATCTCTTATAAATTTAATTATTTGCGATATAAAAAATTTTAAAGAAATATCAAAAAGTTAAAGTTTGTTTTGATAATATTAATCTTTTTAAACAAAAGATTTTTACAATATCATAATGTACAATATAGTTGTGGCGTTGTGTATGCTTTCTATGTGGTAATGACATAATAGTAGAGCCCTCCCTTTATAAGTACGAAGTTTAATCCCCATCACATTCCTGGTAGTATCATGCTGAATTTTTTCTTTGCATAGCAGCATTTTTGTCAAGGTTTGTGTTTTGGAGCTGGGGTTAAGAGAGGGTTGTAGCAAAAGTTAAAAAAATATAAATGTTTTATAGAGTTTTCCTTTTCTAGGTGAATTATAATGATGGTGCACTTACTGCTGAAACTAAAATGTTAAGACAAGGTTTGTCTTTCTATTTTTTATTTTGGTTTTAAATAAAAGATATTTTTTTAATAGACATTAAATGAGTGACAAAGTAGCAAGTTATACTGTTGTTAATTTCATTATGCATACCTTTTTCAAATTAAAGTTATAATTTTGTTCATTGATTAAAGATTTAACATGCTGTATAACAAAAATTAAAAGATGACAGGACCTGCCGTTTACAAGACTGAGATGGAAAGGTGGTATAAAGCTTTCACGCCATTTTCAAAACTTTTTATGCCTGTGTTCTTGTTTTTAAAGTTATGATTTTGTTCATTAACTTTTAAAGTAGCATGCTAAATAACAAATAAATAAAAAAAAGCTGATAGGACCTGCCATTTATGAGACTGAGATAGAAAGGTTGTATAGGGCTTTCACACCATTTTTACTATTTTTCATGCTTGTGTTCTTATGTTTAAATTTATGATCTTGTTCATTAATTTTTAAAGTATCATGCTAAATAACAAAAAAATTAAAACTGTCAGGACCTGCCATTTATGAGACTGGGTTGGAAAGGTAGTACAAAGCTTTCACACTATTTTAAATACTTTTCATGCCTGTATTCTTATTTTTAAAGTTATGATTTTGTTCATTAACTTTTAAAGTAACATGCTAAATAACAAAAATTTAAAGCTGACAGAACCTACCATTTATGAGACTACACTGAAAAGGTAGTATAAAGCTTTCACACCATTTTAAATATTTTTCATGCTTGTGTTCTTATTTTTAAAGTTATGATTTTTGTTCAATAACTTTTAAAGTAACATGCTAAATAACAAAAAATTAAAATAAAAAGCTAACAGGACTTGTCATATATAAGACTGAGATGGAAAGGTAGTATAACGCTTTCACAATATTTTAAATATTTTTTATGCTTTTTTTCTTATGTTTGAAATTATGATTTTGTTTGTACTTTCAGAATCTCGGGTTTTTTTGTTTCAGTTCTCGGTCCATACAAGAAAATATTTTTCTGAGACAAGATCTCGTACAAAACTGAGATTAAACTGAGATTTTTTAAAAAATGTAAAAACTATGAAAATAAACTGAAATTTTCCAAAAAAATTGTGCTATAATTTTTTATTATTATTATATTAATGAACCATAAGTTTTCTACATTAATCAAATTAATGTTGACTCTTAAAAAACTTTTCAAAAGACTTAAGTCATTCAAAGTTGAAGCTGTCATTCTCTCCCGTTTTTTACTACAGTGAAGTAGTAACTTGTGAGAAGAAGTAACTTAAGATCATTGGGAGTCAGTTCAACTGTCTGATGAGCTTCAGATGCAATTTTTACAACATTATCACTGTCATCATTACTTGATGGAGTGAAAAAATGTTTAAGTCAGAGTCTTTTCGCTTCTTCAATAATTTCTTTATTTGATAAGAGTAAGAATAAGGACAGTTCTTCAAGAACTCCTGGATTGTTGAGAAATTTGAGCAGACTAACAGTTAAGATCTGACGTCTTTTAAGAATCTCTATTTCAATTTCTTCAATCAAACAAGCACAATTAAAACTTTTCTTTGTTTGCAATTCCTCTAACAAAAATTCTAATGCGCCTTCTGCTTTGTTACATAGTTAAAGAGTTGCTACTAATTCAGGAATGCTTGTCTCTTAATAATCAGGCCAATCATGTCCAAATTATTTAAAAGTTTTTTTTATAGCTGGGATCGTGTTTTTTAAAGTTTTTAACATTTTCAATGCACTGTTCCATCGAGTTCTGACAACAAGAACTAGCAATTTGAATTTGATTCCAAGAGGTTGAGCATTTTCTTTAAGCTCTTTGACTAATTTAAGTTTGTATATGGATTTTTTTTTCAATAGTTCAAACATCTTTAAGAGTTTTAGTACTAAGCAATGCAGAATCGTACTCAAAAGCTTCCTCATCTTCCAGGTTTTCTTCATCAGAATTTGCTTCAGCTTTATTTTCATCTTTATCTTCTTCTTTGTTTGTTTACAAACTAAGCATGCTTGGTGCGTTGCAAAAACTCTGATATGTACATGCTGACATGTCACTGTATCTGATTCTTCTTCACTTTGGTCTGATAATAAATTCTTATTTGCTCGATTGATATCTGTAATTATCGTTTTACGTTATAATACTTGTGTCACACAAAGATGGATTCCATGATCATAGCAAATGTGATGAAGTCGTTGTGAGAGACGGACGGATTTAGTGCAAATACTTGCCCCATCCATAGTTTGATCAATCCAATCTTGGTCAGGATCAATCCCGAAGGTCATTAATTGATAATTTTGCAACCTCAAATGGTTTTAGCATCACATTCTTTTCCCATTTGGATCATACCAAGATTTTGATTGTAATTGTTGGGTCCAAAAATATGGATGTTCATAACTTTATTTTGTTTAAATGTTGCCTCATTACTCACATAAGAAAACTTTCCTCCATTGGATTTTATCAGCATTATTTCCTTCATCACTTTGTCCCTCACTTTGGATTTTATCAGCATTATTTCCTTCATCACTTTGTCCCTCAGCTATAAATTGTCTGATGAACTTTCTCAACATTTTTGGGAGCTTTAACTTTAGTGTAATTTTCAATCAGCTTTTGCGCCAATGGATTCACAATTTGGTTGAATATCCAATATTAGATGCTAGCTTAGCAACAATTTCTTTAGTCAATGTTAGTTTCACATTAAAAAATGATTCAGTCATTTTTGAGTGAGATTGATGATGCGTTGATTTTTTGGATTTGTAGACTGTTCATTTCTCTACACCGTCAGGACACAATGTGCATTCAACATGAAGCTTGTTGTTTTTTGAAACTAGACAGTTGTTTTGCCATTTCAAATGAGTTCTTTAAGCAATTTTTTCCATTTCAATATTTGAATCTGTTCAATTTTAAAAATCATTAAAATTGCTGTTGCTATGCCAAATGTCATCAATTAAGATAATTTTTCTATAAAAAAAAATTTTAATAAACACTTACTTTTTAGTTTAATACAGTCTTTTTATTTAATTTATTTTTACATCTTTTTATGTGACAAATCTCATTATCAACAGAATCATAAATGAGAAAACATTGCACTGCAATTGCAACTTATATGATTTTTAAAAACATTAAAACTAAAATTACTGAAAAGTATTAACAATTTTCAAAATTAGCGTTTTTTATTTTTCACATGTTTCCTTTCGAGAAATACGTGAAAAATAGTTTCTTGTGAGAAAATTTATGCTGAGGACTCTTTTTTACTCAAAAATGTTTTGACTCTTCTCTCATTAAAAAATAAAAGCTTAAATTTTGAATGTTTTCAATCATTTTTGGTAATCTCGGTTTTTACATTTTCACATCTATTTTCCCCTTATTTTGAGACCAAAATTCCAAGATAGAAAAATTACTGAGATTTCCGAGATCAGATGTCCGAGACGAGCGAGATCTGCAAGTATAGATTTTGTTCATTAATTTTTGAAGTAGCATGCTAAATAACAAAAAATTAAAGCTGACAGCCATTTATGAGACTGGCGTGGAAAGGTAGTATAAAGCTTTCACACTATTTTAAATACTTTTTAAGCTTGTGTTCTTATGTTTAAATTTATGATTTTGTTCATTAACTTTTAAATTAGCATGCTAAATTAAAAGCTGACAGGACCTACCATTTATGAGACTACACTGAAAAGGTAGTATAAAGCTTTCACACCATTTTAAATATTCTTTGTGCTTGTTTTCTTATTTTTAAAGTTATGATTTTTGTTCAATAACTTTTAAAGTAACATGCTAAATAATAAAAAAAATAATAAAAAGCTAACAGGACCTGCCATTTATGAGACTGAGATGTAAAGGTAGTATAAAGCTTTCACAATATTTTAAATATTTTTCATGCTTGTTTTCTTATGTTTAAATTTATGATTTTGTTCATTAATTTTTGAAGTAACATGCTAAATAACAAAAAATAAAAGCTGACAGGACCTGCCATTTGTGAGACTGGCGTGGAAAGGTAGTATAAAGCTTTAACACTATTTTAAATACTTTTTATGCTTGTGTTCTTATGTTTAAATTTATGATTTTGTTCATTAACTTTTAAATTAGCATGCTAAATTAAAAGCTGACAGGACCTACCATTTATGAGACTACACTGAAAAGGTAGTATAAAGCTTTCACACCATTTTAAATATTCTTTGTGCTTGTTTTCTTATTTTTAAAGTTATGATTTTTGTTCAATAACTTTTAAAGTAACATGCTAAATAATAAAAAAAATAATAAAAAGCTAACAGGACTTGCCATTTATGAGACTGAGATGTAAAGGGTAGTTTTAAGCTTTCACAATATTTTAAATATTTTTCATGCTTGTTTTCTTATGTTTAAATTTATGATTTTGTTCATTAATTTTTGAAGTAACATGCTAAATAACAAAAAATAAAAGCTGACAGGACCTGCCATTTGTGAGACTGGCGTGGAAAGGTAGTATAAAGCTTTAACACTATTTTAAATACTTTTTATGCTTGTGTTCTTATGTTTAAATTTATGATTTTGTTCATTAACTTTTAAATTAGCATGCTAAATTAAAAGCTGACAGGACCTACCATTTATGAGACTACACTGAAAAGGTAGTATAAAGCTTTCACACCATTTTAAATATTCTTTGTGCTTGTTTTCTTATTTTTAAAGTTATGATTTTTGTTCAATAACTTTTAAAGTAACATGCTAAATAATAAAAAAAAAAATAAAAAGCTAACAGGACTTGCCATTTATGAGACTGAGATGTAAAGGGTAGTTTTAAGCTTTCACAATATTTTAAATATTTTTCATGCTTGTTTTCTTATGTTTAAATTTATGATTTTGTTCATTAATTTTTGAAGTAACATGCTAAATAACAAAAAATAAAAGCTGACAGGACCTGCCATTTGTGAGACTGGAGTGGAAAGGTAGTATAAAGCTTTCACACTATTTTAAATACATTGCATGCCTGTATTCTTATTTTTAAAGTTATGATTTTGTTCATTAACTTTTAAAGTAACATGCTAAATAACAAAAATTTAAAGCTGACAGGACCTACCATTTATGAGACTAGAGTGGAAAGGTAGTATAAAGCTTTCACACCTTTTTAAATATTTTCTGTGCTTGTTTTCTTATTTTTAAAGTTATGATTTTTGTTCAATAACTTTTAAAGTAACATGCTAAATAACAAAAAATAAAAGCTGACAGGACCTGCCATTTGTGAGACTGGGGTGGAAAGGTAGTATAAAGCTTTCACACTATTTTAAATACATTGCATGCCTGTATTCTTATTTTTAAAGTTATGATTTTGTTCATTAACTTTTAAAGTAACATGCTAAATAACAAAAATTTAAAGCTGACAGGACCTACCATTTATGAGACTAGAGTGGAAAGTTAGTATAAACTTTCACGCCATTTTAAATATTTTTTGTGCTTGTTTTCTTATTTTTAAAGTTATGATTTTTGTTCAATAACTTTTAAAGTAACATGCTAAATAACAAAAAATAAAAGCTGACAGGACCTGCCATTTGTGAGACTGGGGTGGAAAGGTAGTATAAAGCTTTCACACTATTTTAAATACATTGCATGCCTGTATTCTTATTTTTAAAGTTATGATTTTGTTCATTAACTTTTAAAGTAACATGCTAAATAACAAAAATTTAAAGCTGACAGGACCTACCATTTATGAGACTAGAGTGGAAAGTTAGTATAAACTTTCACGCCATTTTAAATATTTTTTGTGCTTGTTTTCTTATTTTTAAAGTTATGATTTTTGTTCAATAACTTTTAAAGTAACATGCTAAGTAACAAAAAATAAAAGCTGACAGGACCTGCCATGTATGAGACTGGGGTGGAAAGGTAGTATAAAGCTTTTGCACCATTTTAAATATTTTTTGTGCTTGTGTTCTTGTTTTTGAAGTTATGATTTTTGTTCAATAATTTTTGAAATAACATAATAAGAAGTTTTTTCAAATTGTAAAAGAGTATAGAATATGTTAAAAGGTTTTGCTTTTTTTTTTTTTTTTGCTTTTTTTTTTCAATTAAATTCACCCCCAATAAAGCTAAAAAGGAACCATAAATCAAGTTGGAAGTTAGGAAAAAACAACGAAGATAGTTAAGAAAGAAAGCATTTGACAGATGAAGATTTAAAAAAATATAAGTTGTATGAGTTGGGAAAACATGAAGTCAGGAGGGAATGTCAAAGCACATTAAAAGCTAGAAGAATTAAAACAAAACTTTATTGAATGTAAAGGAACGATTACAATAAAAAAATGTGTTTAGTTTAACAATTAGTCATGCAGTTTTCATTGATGAAACAAGTGAAGATAAATTGCTTAAGCATGTTATACCATGACCATGGTTGTATTTTTAGAAAAAAAGATAAACAATAATCCATGACCATAGTTGTATTTTTAGAAAAGAGGTAAATAACAATTGACACTCAGATCCAACAAGGCCATGAGAGGTTTTTTTAAAAAATATTATCAAAAAACCTTTTAAAAATGCACTTGTTTCATTTTTAGTTGAAAAAAAGTCATTTTTTATGTAGTAAAATCTAAAATAATTTTTTTATAAAATGATTTTTAAAATTTTTATATAATTTTGATTTATTTGAGATGCAGTCTGACTTATTTTTAACGAACTTTTTTTGATAATAACAAGGACCTATTAAGTGTTTAAGGGTTCAAAGATTCTTTGAACACTTCTAAAAATGTTTTTTGTTCAAAAAATTTTAAGTCCAGTGTTATTTATAAAACACATAAAGGAGGTATTTTTCAAAATATTGTTTTAAAGCCCCCCTTTTCAATAATTATAAAAACCTCCCATAGACCATATAAAGCAAGCTTATGGAGATAATCAGCATGCCAGACTATTGATAAGCCTTTGATGTATCAAGAGCGATAGTCTTTGCCTCGCTGCTCCATCTATTGCATGATGGAACCTTTCTGTCATAATGGTTGATAAGTCAGCAGTAGAATGAAATTATTATTTCTTACTCTTTGACAATCCATATTGGTTTTTAGAGAATAAGTAGTTAGACTCAAGTTAAGGTGTTAAAAATTTGTTGATTTAAGACCTTGCTGATAATAGAGAGAAGTTGGAGGGATGAGAATATTCTCCAGAATTTTTGGAATTTGAAAATTGAAATTGCGGATACCATTTTCCAGTAGGCAGGAAAATAAGATTCAGTTAAGCACTTGTTAAAGAGTTTGTACAGATATAGTTGTACTTCAGAGTAATTAAGTTTATTTGTGGAGAACACTTTTATTAGACTGTGAGAAGCATGTTGACTGAACCACTAGCTATAGAAGAGTTGAAAAGAGAAATAACTTGAGCAGTGGAAGCTAGAGTGATTTAGATGTCAAACAAGGGTTTGTTTCTGTTTCTCTAGAAACAACCCTTGTTAAAAACAGTAAGAGTGTGGCCATAAAGTTAGAGACACAAGTTGTTAGAATGTCTGGAAAACAAGTCACAAAGTTAACTTTCTGAATAAGAGATTAAAAAAGATAAAAGTTTTAAGTTTTACAACCATGAAAATCAGTAGTAATAGAGCAAAGCCACTCAGTATCATGAACATTAAAGTCACCAATAACAACACAATTAAATGAGGGATAAAGATAAAAAGCTTGATCAAATCAATGGAAATGACATAAATATTTTATGACACTCTATGCAATATGGCACTCTTTATGCTATATTTTACAGTTGTTCATGGAATCAGCCTCTTTGAGAGCTGCCACTGAGTTTGGAAAAACTTACTACCTGTTGGACTCAGAACTATTAAACTAGAATTATAGAGGTCTTTAACAAAGCAGTAGTCCAATGTAGTTAACATTGGACTACTGCTTTACCAAGATGAGTCTTTTATTAAGATGTTATAAGCTTTTGCTCAATCAAGAGCCTCAGGGCAGAGGATATTTTAATTCAGACTTAATTTCACCTAGCCTTGGCCTTACATAGTTTTCTACATTAAACTAAATAGTTCTCTACATTAAACTAAATTTATTTTAAATTTAAGGTTATTTTAAATTTAAGGTATTAATTTTTTTCAAATAAAATTTTTGTTTAGCTTATGATGATGGTTCAGATTTTGATGCATCTGAATTGGTTGATGAGTCTTCAGACTTGTCTGATGAAGATTTAGGATCACAAGGTATCTTCAAAATTTAATTTTAGTTTTGTAGTTTTTTGTAGTAAGTTGTATAAAGCATTGGTTCTAAGTTTCTGAAAACAGTTTTTGTATATTGCATTAATCATGATTTGAACCATTGTTTTATGTCTACTTTTTTTTTTTGTATAATACTCTTTCGTACATACAAATTTAAAGTATTTTGATTGGTATTGACTAAAATATTTGTTTTCTTTTTTTTTTTTTAACTGTTTTTGAATTCTTAGCTTATTTTTAATGAGTCTAAGATGGTTTAAAATTGTAGTTATAGATTAATGCAAATAAATAATATTAATAAAACCTTCTTTTTTACTTATTTTCACTAATATAACATTTAAAAACTTGCAAATTAAAAATATAAATAATTATAATAAATAAATTTGAAAATAGACTTTATAGTAGCAAGTAATTATATTACTTGCTATTATAAAATCTATTTTCAATATATAATGTAAAAAAGAAATTGTTTATTGAAAGTTTTAAAATAAAGAAAATATATTCAGTTGAAAACAGGAAGAAGAAGAAAAAAAAAAAAAACTAGGCCAAGGACATCTCTAGTCAAAAGTAATACTAATGTGATAATAAAGGTTTTATCACTACACTAGTATTCCTTCTGACTAGAGATGTGCTGAGCCTAGTTCATTTTTTATATTTTAGTAATTAAATGTTTTTTTTCTTTAAATTTTTTTAGCTCGTCAGAAGAAATTAAAGGAGAAGGATATTTTGCCACCATTACTTGCTAAAGTTGGGAGTCAGCTTGAAGTGTATGGGTTCAATCCTAGGCAGCGTAGAGCATTTCTTACTGCAGTCATGCGCTATGGTTTACCTCCTAAAGACTTTGCTTTAGCAAAGGATAAATGGTAAATAGTTATTAATATTTACAAAGAATGCTTCTTCTAAACAAATATTATTTGATTAAGAAACAAATTTTAACATCTCTTTCACTTTATTTGCTAATCTCTATTCAGCATATTTGCTACATTAAAAACCTCTCTCAAGGGGTAAGAATAATTAGGAACACTAGGTGACTGCATTGAAATTGTGACAGGCAGCTCTGGAAAATGTTCCAATTATTATTTAACTTTAAAGTATCTACATCACAGAGACTTGTTTTAAAGTAATATCTTATGTTTGCTTGTTTTTTTTTTTAAACTCCCTTCTGTATTGAAAAAAATTTAAAGGTTTCAACAATTAGGGTACTATAAGCATGTAGTCTATTATCTGAGTTTGTATTTGATTCACTTATTTACACTGGTTTCATTTTAAAGTATCAGAATCTTAAATGACTTTTTCTATCTTGCATGAGTCAAATAATTGCATAGCTTTTTCACTGCCCAATTGTATGGGTATTCACTGTCTAATTGTTAAGCTGATTCTAGTACTATTGCACATGCGTTTATTTTGTCTTTCTTTAATTACAATATCTATGTATTTTTTGCTACTAAAACTCTGTTGCTTTGTATGTCCAATCTTAAAAGAATATTCACTAATATCTTAGAAAATTTGTATTGATGTAATTAATGACAATGAAGTTTTTTTTTTTTTTTTTTTTTTTTTTAAGGTGTATCCATAATCTACGTGGAAAATCAGAGAAATGTTTTCAGTAAGTTTGAGTTAATTAAGATAGTAATACAGTAAGAGCATGTACAGTGTCTCAACAAATTATCAGAATGAACAAGTTTTTCCCAAAAAAAAATGTTTATGCTCTAAGTTATACTAAAAACAATGAATAGCGATACTTACTTTATCTGTCATTTTAATTCTATTGGGAATAGTATGTTATTTAGCATTCATATTTTTTTATTCATGCTTCAGTTGGTTTATTATTTGTCCTAAAAAAAAATTAGTATTGAATAGACTTGTAAAAAAAATATCCGACCAAGCATTATTTAGGTAATTTTAATTAATTTTATGTGAAATTTGCTGAAGTATTTTAGCAAATTTTTATAAAATTAATGAAATTGCATAACAAAAAACTGTTTTTTTGTAGTAAAATTTAGCTGTCTATCTAGTCAATCAGGGTAAAACCTAACTTCAGGTGCAGCAAGAGACTGGAATTCCTCATAATATAATATCTGACATAATGAAGAAGTATAATTTGATCAGAGCAACAGACACAAAAGAAGGGCTGGGTTGCAAAAAAAAGACTTATAATAGTTTTGATAGAAACTTAATTATACAAGTCAAGAAAAATTGCTTCATTTCTGCTCAAAAACTGACTGTGCAAGCTGAAGAGAATTATGGAATCAAATTATCCCATCAGACAATCAGAAATCATATCCGAGACCAGGGATTTCAAGGACGACTTGTGCGTAATAAACCATATTTGAGTAAGAAATATATGAAAAGTAGATTGGAGTTTGCTGAGAAATTCAAAAACATGCAGTTAACTTTCTTGAAAAAGATCCTGTGGAGCGACGAATCAAAATTCAACATCTTAAGTCATCTGATGGAGCCCAAAAAGTTTGGAGAAAAGCTGAAGAAGCCTACAAATTTAGCTGTGTGAGAGGAATTGTCAAGTATGGTGGCGGTAACGTGATGGTCTGAGTTTCAATGGCTTAGAGGGGTGTCAGAAAACTCCAATTTATTGATATTATAATGGATCAGGTGCAATACTGAAACATTGTAAAGCAAAATTTGAAGTCATCTGCTCGAAAACTTAGGCTAGGATCTGATTTTAGCAAAATAACGATCCCAAGCATAGTGCCACTATGACCAAAGAGTGATTTGCTGAAAATAATGTTGAGGTCTTGGAATGGCCCGCACAATCACCAGATCCCATTGAACATTTTCCAAAAAAGATAACCTCAAAGTGGCAATTGAAGAAGCCTGGGAAAAGATTCAACCAGAAGAAACAGAATCTTTAGTCAAATCAATGCCTAGACATCTAGAAGCTGTAATCCAAGGAAAAGGAGGCCCTACAGAGTATTAAAATAATTGTTTTGTTATTTAATAAATTATTATGAAACAAAAAATGTGTTTGGTCGAATATTTTTTTGACAATAAAAAAACGACCCAAGTTCCTTTATTTTAAGACTGAAAACTTTGTGATTCATATTTTACATTAAAATAAATAAAATCTATTTAAAAAAATGTTCTTTTATTTTTATTAATCTTGAGTTTACCAAAAAAGTCGAAATTTACAAAAGTTTACTTTTTATAGGAAAAATATTTTTTTTAATGCTTGGTCGGATAATTTTTTGAGACACTGTAAATAAAGTTTTTTCAAAGATTTTTATCAAAATTTTGTTTATTAGAGCATACACATCCATGTTTTTACGCCATCTTTGTGAACCAGGAATGGATACAAAATCAGAAACTTACAGTGATGGTGTGCCAAGAGAAGGTGTTAATCGCTTGCAATTGCTTTCACGCATTGGAATTATGAGTTTAATAAAAAGAAAAGTAAATAAAAATGGTCTTAAATTAAATAAACAAATAATATAATCCCACAGAGATGCAACAACGGCTAGGCACTTAGGCAGTTGCCAAGGGCACTGCTAAATCTCTAATAAAATTTTTATTTTTACAATTGTTAATATTCATAAATAATAAATAGTAAATTAGTGTTGTTCCTGCTTTTCACTCTGTCGATATTTATGTTGTATGACTGTCAGCAACATGCTACATAATTATTGTCATTAAAAAAAAATAAGAAAAGTTCAATATTTTCTAACATTTAAAAAATTTAAAAACAGTTTGCCAAAAATGCCATAAATAATTTAGCCAAGATTGACAAAAACCTTGTTGCGCTTCTGTGATCCTAACCCCTTACAGTACTTTTTTTTATCATTAATGTTGAAATATTCAACAAATTGAATAAACCTCAAAAAATACTAATATGCTTAATAATTGTTTTATATTTTTTACACAATTCAAAAATTTACTTTTTTTTATTACATAGGTGGAAGAGTATTCCAGCATCAATACATTTCTTCATACTACCTTATATGGTCATGTGAGTCTACATATTCGTTCAAATGAAGATGTTGGTTTGAATGGTGATCTAGAGAAAGACATTAAAGCATCTGTTGAAAAAGCTGCAGTAGATGAAACATCCAATAATGAAACAACTGATAATAATATTGAAGAAGAAAGCTCAAACAAAGTAAAATCATTGCATATAGAATCAGCCAATGCTGATTCTTATGAAAAAAGCAACGAGAAAGAGAAAGAAAAATTAAATATTGATAAACATTTACAGAACGGTAACTCAAATTATTCATCTCTGGTTTCAACAAGCAAAGAAATTGTAAATAACGATAAAGAACTTTTGTTTGTAGATAAAAAGGTATTGGCAGGGGACTCAGATTTATTGCGTTCATCTGCAAAAGATTCTCCTACTGAAAAAGGTGAATCAGAGTTAGTGTCACCTCAAGCTATACCAAAGTTCATGTTTAATATTGCTGATGGAGGATTCACCGAACTTCATGTTTTGTGGGAAGCAGAGGAAAAAAGAAAGCTTGACAACATATGGTGGAGATTCCATGACTACTGGCTTCTTGCTGGTGTTGTTGTGTATCTTTTTAATTTATGATGATTTTTTAAATTATATTATTTTTTGAGACATTTCTAATTTTTTTTTAATCGTTATAGTACTTTTATTTATGTTATGAATATTTGTTATTTTTATCTTGCATACTGTTAAAAAGTTGAATTAGAAGTCATATAGTATCTTGATCTTCCTGAATTTTTCTCTTTAGCACCATGCAATCTAGATTCAAATTCTAGTTACATATGACACTTATTTAAGAATACAAAGTTCTTTGTAAAAAAAAAATTAAGTTTAGAGATAAGATATTAAATTAAAAACTATAGTATATGCTTTAGTTTTTTTCTCCTTTCTTGAGAGAAGATATTATAAATAAAGTTTATAGTACACAGTTTTAGCGGCTACATTTTGCCTGCCATTTTGCACAGACACTTTTTATTTAACACATTTTTTCTGGTTATGAATAAGTTAATTCCTTTACCTCTTAAAATCAGAAATATTTTCTCGGTCCTGAAATATGTAAGAGATGATCTGTATTTAGCAATTTTTTATTTCTGTAAAATTGATGCGTTAAATAAAATTATTTTTATGTTATCTTTTGGTTTTGACGTCATTAAGACTAACTGTGTGTAGACAACGTCTTAGTATGTCTTAAGACTGTCCATCTCTGTCAATAATTAACAAGAAGTTAGATGTTTCAATTTAAACATAAAAGTTTACCTAAAATAAAGCATAGAATAAAAGCAAATAAAATAAATGTTTTTACAATATTTAACATTACTATAACATTGACCTTAATTAGAAATATCAACTTAGTCATGGCTACAGCAGATGGCAGGATATACAAAATGATGAAAAGTTTGAAACTATAAATAAACCATTTGCTAGAAGTATGTAAACAGTTTTATATATTAAAAATTAATTTTTAATATATTTGTTATTAGTTTATTATATATATATATATATATATATATATATATATATATATATATATATATATATATATATATATATATATATATATATATATATATATATATATATATATATATATATATATATATATATATATATATATATATATATATATATATATATATATATTCTAACGATTTTTTTGTCTTTCATTTTTAGTGTCTATCGATTACAAAAATAAGTTTATTGCAAGGAGATTTAAGGTTGTTAAAATAGATTGTTATTTAAAGATGCAGGTCTTCTTAATTTTTTTTGTTGTTAAAACGTTCCTTTTACGTTTTAGTTGTTGGAGCAAGCTTTGATTGTTGAAGAACAGTTAAAACGTGCTACTCTAATGTCCGTTACACAGGATAACAAACATCCTGCTATGTCTTTGCAGTCGAGGTGAATTTTTTTTTATAAGTACTTGTAAAATAGCATAAAAAATTATGAAAATTTTTACTTTTCGTTTTTGTGCCTTTTAGGTTTGCTGAATTAGAATGCTTAGCAGAAAGTCATCAACATTTATCCAAAGAGTCTTTATCTGGTAACAAGCCTGCTAATGCGGTACTTCATAAAGTTCTTAATCAACTAGAGTCTTTATTGTCAGAAATGAAAAATGATGTTGCTAGATTGCCAACCTCGCTTGCAAAAATGCCACCTGTTACTCATCGTTTGGCCATGTCTGAACGTTCTGTTTTAACGCGTTTGGCGACTGGGGGTCAATTGCCTATACCTGGGCAAGTTCCTTTTCCATCGAGTGGTTTGGTTGATCGCTCTGCTCTAAGTCCTCATGGTCTTGGCGTTAGTAAGACTTATCCTTCTCATAGATCTGACTATACTCCAATATGAGAAAAAAACTTAGTTGTGGAAACTTTTTCTAGACAGAATGGAACGCCCTAATGCAGAAGTTCATATTAGTTTGATTATTTCAACCCGATATAATGATTCGCTTAGCTGATACTGCTTCCATAGTATTTAAAAAATAATGGAAAGAAATTAATTAGAAAACTTAATATAAAGTGGATATCTTCTCAAAAGAACTATAAAAAACTTGACTATGATAATGATAAATGAATATGATAATGATAAATGAATAAACACGGCAAATCGTTGTTTGTTATTTAAAAAAGGATAAATTCAAACACGGCAAATCGTCGTTTGTTATTTAAAAAAGGATAAATTCAAACACGGCAAATCGTCGTTTGTTATTTAAAAAAATTAAAAATAAGACAGTTAGCGCCAAAACCCAATTTATTTTGATGTTAGATTTTTGTACATGTAGCTATATACGATTTTTTATCTATAATGTTTTGAAAGTGTATTATATAAGTTAGTTAGTTAATTAGCAGGAAAGCCTAGTGTCGTTGTTAAAATTTAAAAAACCCTCATAAATTCAAAATTACTCACTTTCTGGTCGTGTCACATTTAATCCAAAAAACATACTAAATTTATCTGCAAAAAGAAACATCAAAAAATAAGAATAATTTTCCGATGTCTTACTCAGCTCAAAATTGTTGTCAACCGCTTAATGTTGTTTGTTTGTTTTTGAACGGTTTATGACGTTCTTAACTAATTTAGTTTTCAACTGATTTTAAAGATTTTCACTTTCAGTCAATTTGAGATTCAATTTTCAACCAAATTGAGATAATTCGGTTTTCAACCGATTATAAGCGATATTCATTTCAACTTACTAATTTTTGTTTTTTAACGTTTTTTCTTATCGTTTTTTAAGGTTTTTTTTTTTTTATTAAAAAAACATCAATAAATCAATAGTTACATCTCTGCCGCCATACTAAAATAGCCTGCTGCCGGGTGCTTCATACATCGACTATCTTATATCCTGCTCCCGGTAGTAGAGTTTCGCTACATCGGCTAAGAGTTAAGGCTGAGGAGCAATTTTTTCTTTCATTATTCTTCGTTTTATTTCACTTTTTCTGAAAAAGTCGTATGCTATAAATGTAAGCAAAAATATTATTTCCAATATATATATATTCCCAAGCTCCAATTACCGTAATATTTTGTAACACATCCTCATTTTATTTTTTATTCTATTTGACAATAGTATTAAAATAAAAACTTAAGGAGTTCTGTGGTAGAAAATTAGATCCCATGAAATATTAGATCCACTGACGTAAAACTCAAAACGAAAATGTGTTTTCAATATATTATATTTAGAAATGTTCCTTTGAGTCCGAATATTTATATTAAGACATTACGAAAAAGAAACTAATGCTTGTTTAAATTTGTAAACATGATTATCAAATACATACAATAAAATTTTGTTATATACATTTCAAAACTGCAATTGGTGCAATCTTCAGAGTATTGAATAAAGAAAAGGAACTTTATATTCAACAAAAATAGAGATTTGTTTACCAGAAATATAGACATTTTACATTGAATTATTTTTGCATTTATTACAAGCTTGCAAATATGAACAAGAGCAACCATAAATAAATAATAAAATAGAATGTTACAACATTTATAGCTATATAAACATTTCATTAGTTCACTGTTAACAATCTTAAGATATATTTTTTTTGTATGTATTTAGGTGCTCCCAGAAATCCTTACGGTCTTATCATAGAGCACTGTGGGAGAGCATTTAATAGGAAGTTCACGCTTCCTTCCGTACCAATGTCACTTGTTGGGCTGGAGCTGGCGTTGAACCTCGAACCTCTGGGTTCTGAGCCAGAACTCTAACTACTGCGCCACGGCTGCTCCTAATTCATATTGGCTATATTCTTATTACTATTGTAGATTATTAGATCCGGCTGAATTATTAGACCCCATCGCATAAAATTAAAAACAACTGCAGTGAAATGTAAACATTTTTTAAAAGATAAGTAGATTTCACTATCTACTTTGTAAATGGCAAATATACCCTTTCTTTATTATTATACTTATTATTATTATTACTACAATTTAAATATTTCTTTTTTTTTTTTAATCTCATATTATTATAATATATAATTATTATTACTATTATTGCTGTTACTGTTATTATTATTATTATCAAAACTATTGTAAAAATGATTTACGGAAAATAAATAGCTTGTTGTTGTTGTTGTTTTTCCACTTAGCGTCAGTAAAGTCAGTCTAAAGATAATATATTGAAAACGCATTCTCGTTTTGAGTTTTACGGCAGTGGATCTAATATTTGATGGGATCTAATTTTCTACCAGTTCACACCATGTCTGGAAAAGTGTTTCATCTGTTAACATGATGTGATTATGTTAAATGTTACATGACGTCGATTGGTTTGTAAATTAAGTAAATAATTGTTGTTATTTTTGTACGGTTTTGTGCGTAATTGCTAATGTGTTTATACGATTAATGTGAAATTTTAAACATGTTTATGTGGGTTTTTATAGTAATTTTTAAGGTAAGTGATTTAATTTAAATTATGATTAGAACTTGTTAGAGACAATTTTTTCTTTTCTTTGAATTAAGAAAAGAAAAAATTTTAATCTAATGTTGTGTTTATGTGAAAAACTACACATGAGGAGGAATGATGTTTTTGATAAAATCAAGGAAATTGGAATTAACAATATCAACTAGTGCTCTGTGGTTGAGGAAGAAGTGAAGATTAATATGAATGTTCACAACTTTAAAGATTTCAAAAGGAAGATTAAAACATTTCTTGCCAAGCTCAAGATTAAATTTGAAAGGCATGGAAGAACCTTCTCTCGACTTAAGGAACGCGATAAAGAATGGCTGGAGTTAGTACTGTACCCAAGACTTGCTCCTCCCACATCAAGACCAGGAAGACCAGCTACATTATGGACTGATAGTTCGGAGAGAACTAAAAGGAGAAAAGTATCCAAATTTATATGCTACATTTTTAGTTGCTAAATTACATAAATGAGTAAATTTTTCTAAAAATATAAAATATTTTTTTAGTTTAATTGGTGACTATTGTACCAAAGAACTTGCCTGTGCTGCTGCGGTGAGAGCTAAATCAAGCCCAGGAAAGGGAGACTTTTCAAAAGTTATTAAAAATTCTCTCAAAATTGAGCTCTAGCCAAAAAATTATTGAAAATACAAAAACGAATCCAATAATCATGAAAGCAGAAGAGACCCTTGCATTAAAGATAAATTGTGATCTCAGTGATTCACAATATCAAGTTCTTAGAAATTCTTCACTGAAACAGAATACAGAGATATACCCTTGATTCAAAGTAATATTTGATGCAAAATCTAAATGTTATCCAGAAATTTTTGAAATTTTAGAAACATCTTCTAAGTGTAATGTTTATTCAATGGTGAACTACACCTTATCAAGAATTATAAATATATCTAATACAGACTAGATCTCTAGATGGATCGGAAACAACTGGAAAATTTTGTATAAAAGCTGGAATGGATGGAGTCTTATCTCAAAATGTATACAATCAAAGGTTTGATGACACAGATCTTGCAACTGGAGTTAAAAACGAAAAATCCTTGTTTCAAACTGCAATTGTTTGTTTAAACTGGATATAGGGGACATCACTGTATGGTCAAACCCAATGCCTTTAAGCCCCCACTTTTACTTGCCTCTTCACCTGTAATACTAAAAAGAAAAAAGGAGTCAACTAGAGCTAAAGAATTAGATGTTAGGGAGTAAATAGAAAGTCTTCAAGCTTTTGAACTTGAAATCCCCTTTCTTAACCAGAAGCAAAAATAGAAATAAAAATTGAGATGACCATGTTGGACGGCAAGGCAGCGAATGCTATAACAGTTACAAACTCAACTCAAATTTGCAATGTTTTTTCTGCCAAACCTAGTAAAATGAATTAGCTAGATATAATTAGATAAAAAAGTTTGAAATAAGCAGGCTATAGCTTTAGAACTGTCGACACTGCATTGTTGGATGCAAACCTTTGAATTCATTCTACACTTGGGATATAAAAAGGATACTAAAAAATACAAGTCCCGATCTCCGGAATATAAATTTTTTGTAAAATCTTGAAAAAAAGAAATCAAAAGAAAGTTTACAGAAGAGTTAAGCTTAGTGGTTAATACTCCTAAGCAGGGATTTAGAAATAATAATACAGGAAACACTGCAAGGATGTTCTTGTAGCAGAATCTTTCTCTGAAATTAAAGGAGTTTGGACATCATTTTAAGATTAAGAAACATATTGAATGCTGTTTGCAGTGGATTCCACCTGAACCTGAATGCTTTTAAAGCATACTGTTATAAATCTTCAGAGCTGATAGTGGAAACCTATCCTTGGTACATATGCCATCTACACTTTACAAGGTTCTGGAACATGAAATGCTGAGCATTTGGATCTTCCGCAAGACTCAATCACACATGCAAAATATCTAGAATTAATGTGATGCGGAACCAATTCCATTATTATTTACTATTAAGGAGCAACCTTGTGATCTCTTCAATTGCTTTCAGAAACCCCAAGATATTTGCTGGCCCTAACCTTGATCTAGACATACAAGACCTCCTCATCGAAGATGAATAGTTGCTTTTTTGCTTTTTTCTTAATAAATGTTATATTTTTAAACTTTTTCTTGTAAAAATTCACTTATCAGTATACATAATTAGGGATTACATATTAATGCTTAAAAAATTTAGTAAATATTTTATTCACTTAGAAAAAATAAAAAAGATTTTAAAAACTCACAAAAGTCTTTTTGAAATATAAATAATAACTATTTCGATTAGTTGTTTTTTAAAATAACATCTTTAATTGGTTATTTTTTGTGTCAACTTCTTTAAAAGGATATTTTTGTAAAAAATTTAAATCTAATATTTTTTGAATATTTTCCAGTTTTCAATGTCAGTTTTCTGGTGTTTCCTTTATAATTATGTGCATAGGCGCAACTTAGGGTGACTGGGGGCTGCGGGCCGCTCTAAGAAACAAAATACTTCAAAACTTTTATACGGGGCCCCTAAGAGGCAGGGGCAATTGAAGTAGTTTGCCCCGGGCATCACAGTCAATGAAGCATCACATATGCCTTAAAAAAAATTATTTTAATGATAAAAAATTTAGCAGATAACATAGTTAAAGCTAAAGCAATTTTTGTGTATTAATTTCGTTTTCCTTTTAAACTTAGTTCACATTTAAAATAGGATAATTATTACTTTACAAGGTTTTTATTTTCCGTTTGAACGTTCACGTTTTCATTGGCCTTTTGTTCGCATAATAAAGTAAAGATTATTTTCTTATTTAACGACATGTAAAAGTTCTTTTGGACATGAAACAAAATTGAAGATGAAAAAAAGCGATGGAAAGTAATTTTATTATTCCTTTCTTTATGTCACAATTTTTCTGGCTTCAACAAATTTACCTTTTAGGAGTAGGAACATTGTTTTTAAATTTTGATTTATATTTTGCATTATTTATTTATAATTTAAAAATCAAAATTAAAATTTATGATTGGATATAAATATGGATTACTATTTTAATAATTTTTTTGTTTGCAATTAGAATCCAATCAAAAATTGTTCTAAAATGGGAATGGAAACTTCTTGGAGCTTATTGCTTAACAAGGCTACGACAATGGCGCTAATATGGCAGGTATTTACAATGGAGTTCAAGCTTTGATTAGGCAGAATAATCTATAAGCATTTTTCATTCCTTGCTCTACTCACAGTTTGAACTTATGTGCAGTACACGCTATTGAATTATCGGCTCCTGAAAAATCCTATTTTAGAAATACTCAAAAGCTATACAATATGTTCAGCTGCTGCCCAGTTAGTTGAAAAATTTTTCAGGAGGAGACAGACCAATCATTACATAAACTTTCTGTTAAACGATGGCCACTAGCAAAAAAGCCAAGAAAGATCTTGAAATTATTACATCGTCCAAAAGAGTTAGACCTTCCAGACAAAAGTAGTAATGAAGTGTATTATCTAATTTAATGGATAAATTCTTTTGAATTTTTTGTTTTCAATATTTCTTGGTATAAATGTTTGATGGTAGTTAACAACGTGAGTCTGTTGCTTCAAATAACTCAACTCACTCTTGATGATGAAGTAAAGATTCTAAATGGCCTTTTGACAGATCTAGATTGAATCCGTTTGTCTTGGGACCTTATTATACCTGATATAGGCAACAGAAGTTGCAAAGAACTTGAAGTTTAATGAAATTATGTTTTCTGCAAAGAGAACGCAAAAAAAGAAGGTATTCCTTGATGAGACTGCTAGTTACAACCACGAAGAATCATCAAAAAACTTTGAGTGTAATGTCTTCAATGTTGCTTTCAACAATCTGACTAGTCAAATGAGATCAAGATTTAAAGTAATGAAAGAGAAATGTAACAAATTTTCCTTCCTTTGGTTTTCACAGAAATCTCAAACAGACGAAGAACTAGGTTTAAAAGCTGAGAATCTGGCTAAACGTTACCAGAAGACTTATGTACAAAACGAATTTGAGCAGCCGTGGCGCAGTGGTTAGAGTTCCGGCTCAGAACCCAGAGGTCCGGATGTGTTTAATATTAGGACTTAATTTTACCATAGTTTGCTTTTAAAAACCAAAATAAATTAAATGAGATATATATGGAGCGTTCACTACTGCTTGGGAAAACGCATTCCATGGGACAACAAATCTATTTGAACAAAAGTTTTGTCGTTCTTCACAATTTCGTACAAGCTGACGTTCTAGTTTTTGATTATGCCCTCTCAAAATATACTTGGCTTTACTGTTTGAAAGTTTATGTGGAGCGAAAAAACTGACAAATTCGAGTTGACGCGTGATTTTAAATTGTTCGATTAGGTCTGCTTTTTTACGGCGTTCTTCAAGTGTTATTAGACCGAACTGTTGAGTCGATTTTTATAGGACAGGTGTTTAATAGATGCTATTGTTTTTGTTGCTCGATGTTGGACTTGTTCAAGAATATGTCGGACTTTAAATGCGGCGACCAGGCTTGAACAGCAAACTCGAGGGTGGGGGCGAATGTAAAAAAGATACAATTAGCGCCATAAATAAAAACTGCGACTCCGAAATATTTGTCTTTGGAGACCATCACACCAAGGTCTCGTTCGACTACAGTCTTTTCGAGTGGATAACGCGTGCCGTCAATGTTAGCCATTGATTAATTGTGCGTCATCTTGTTACAAGTGCGGCCAACATGGATTACTTTACATTTCTGAATGTTGAAATGCATAAGCCAAATATGTGGCCTTTCCACTGCTCTGTCAATGTCGGCTATCCGACTGTGATGCTATCCGACTCGTTTTTAATTATGTCAATAATTTTACTGTCGTCAGCATACAGTTTCATATGATGACTAATTTTGTCCGGAAGGTCATTAATGAAGATTACGAAGAGCTAGGGCCCAAGACCGAGCCTTGAGGCACGCCACTAGTGACCGTTTGCCATTCAGGTGTAACGCTGTTGATGACCATTCGTTGACTTTGGTCGTGTAACCAAGCTGAGATCCAGGTCTTGAATACCGTAGGCTCTTAGTTTATGAAGAAGGCGTTTGTGCGACACTTTGTTAAAGTCTGTGTATATGACGTCTACTGCATGGCTGCGATTAATGGCTTCTGTCATGATATCCCGAGTTTCTAGCAGGTTAGAGACGCAACCCTTGCAATAAACAAAGCCATGTTGCTTTGGAGTAATTAAGTCATTAGCAACACAGTGTTCCATTATACTTGTTTTAAGAATACTTTCTATTATTTTGCATGAAAAGGATGTGAGCGAGATAGGCCGGTAGTTTGGTGCATTTATTTTACTCTTCTTCTTGAAAATTGGTGTTACATTCGATTTTCTCCACAAGTCGGGAACTACACCAGTCGCGAACAAGCACTTATAGATAAGTGAAAGTGGTTTGGCGAAGCTAGTTGCACATTTACTAAGGACCCGTGGATGTAAACCATCGTAGCCGGTTGATTTTCTTTCATCAATGTGGTAGAGGCACTTTTGTACTATATCGATAGAAAAACTTGCTGAGTCGACAACACAAATTGCTTCAGTACGTTTCTCAAAAGCTGGCAATGGACCTTCGGGCTCTAAAACAAAAACCGAATGAAAATAGTTATTTAATAATGATCATATATCGCCGGTATCGGTAGTGATGTTGCTATTAGCTGTTTCTAGCAATGTAATAATGTTCCTAACGCTCTGTTTGTAAATGTAATAGCTCCTGTTTTTCAGTGAAGGGAGTAGTTGTCGATGGGATGTATAGAGCGTTAGGAACACTATTACATTGTTTACTAGAAGCTGGTAGATATCGTTTGCATTTAGACCAGTGAATTCTGTTTCCCAATCAACAGCTGCAACCTGCGAGTATATTGCTGCGTAGTTTGCTCGAATCCAAATAAGTCAAGGTTGTAATGGCAAAGTAGGCAAGTTGCCAGGGCCTACAACAGCGAGTTGACCTTCAATGAAGCAGTGTGCCTAGCCGATTGTAGTGTTACCGAGAGAATCACTTTGTTCGATGAAGATGGCACGGTCTGGCTCGTGTGTTATGATCAGATTAGCTGTGCTAGTGGGCTCAACGTGTCGACTACTACGATACGTTGGGAATGTGACAAGCTGAGTTAGGTGACATTCATCAAGGTATTTCTGAAACCTAATATCGCCTTGACGCTCATCTCTTACGTGGGCAACTGTTACAATGCCACCGTTAACTTCGATAAACTCATAAGATGTATGGCTGAAATTGAAATCTCCATATAGTAGCATTTTCGAGCAGTTTATATTAGGCAGTATCTGCCGAGTGGCCGTGATCGATGTGATACACTGAGTAGAACCTGATCATTAAGGTCGTGAGGACGATATATGCAGACGTGGAGAAACGATTTTTTGCCCATTTTTATTTTTCGCCAAATTTGCTCAATTGATGTTGAGTTGAGCTGAGTAAAATTAACTTCATTGACTATAATATTGTCTTTTGTGTAAATGGCAACTCCACCACCCCTATTTTCTCTGTCTTTGTGATGAGGTTGGTAGCCGGGTATGGCAAAGTCTGAGAAATCTGTGAACCAAGTTTCCGCAAAAAATATGACTTGTGGCCAACTAGATTTAGGCAGAGCAGAGAGTCTGGCCAACAGCTACTGGCGTTTCTAATTATTGAGTGAGCATGGATTGTTTGCCCAGTAGCGTAGATGGCTAGGTGGAGCAGTGGAAAAGTTCGGCTGAATTGGTTTTATTTTTGCTTTAGATATCGGTCTAGAACGTCTAGATGGCAGTAGAGATTTCTGATTTAGGAACGGTTGTTCGACTGGCGTAGTCAGTCAGGGCTCTGGCTGGGGATGCAAATACATAGCACTGGTTGAACGTTGATTCGATGATATTGATGCAACTGATGCGACCTGCCCTTCGATGTATAACATTCGGAAACGGTTTATCTAGAATGTTAGCAGCAGCAAGTTTGTCATTTAGCTTCTTGAGCTGGGTGCGACTGGTATTAAACTCAGTTTGTTGCTTTGGCGTTCGGTCTTCGCGAACGTAGACACCCTTGTCTACGTTCTGTGTCTCTTGCTTGTGGTGGGCGCATGTTTTGAGTATTTCAGTTCGAGATGAAAGATTAGATTGCGAAACCTGGATAATGTTCGAGTTTGACATCTTTACTTTATTTTTACTTGTTTTGATGCGGTTAACACGTAATACCAGTAGCATCCTTCAATCCCGTTGCTAATATATATATATATATATATATATATATATATATATATATATATATATATATATATATATATATATATATATATATATATATATATATATATTTTAGCAACGGGATTGAAATTGAATCTTTTTAAACTTAATTGAATAATCTTTAAAAAAATAAAAACTTTTAGAAGGAGGCAAAAATACATAATATGCTACCTATAAATGTCTATTTATTTTTGAGAAAAGACATTATTAGTAGAATTCTAAATTTTTAGTTATAGCCATTGAAAATTGTGTCACGGAAGAAACCTCTCGTTCCTTCCGTGACACAAATTTTAAATAAACTAAAACTAAACTAAAGATTTGAAATTCTCTTTTCTCAAAAAATAAATAGATATTTATAGGTAGTATATTAGGTATTTTTGGCTCCTTCTTAACGTTTTTTATTTTCTTTTTTTGAATTTCCAATTTAGTTTACATAGTTCATTCCTTTTGAAAAAAAAGATTTTTTAATCCTGCCCTCATTAACTTTTGATGTAGTTAAAATTAATAAATTTTTTGCGTGTTTATTTGCTTAATTCAAATTTGCAAATTCAATAACAAACTAAAGCATTATTTTTAATCATAAAAAGGTCCATCATCTAGAGCTTCTATATCACAAAAGGTTTTTTTTCATAAGAATATTTATCAAATAGTACAACTGGAAAAAATGTAAGGTGAACCCATTTCTCCTGATTCATATAATTTGCAATCTTTTAAGTCGTCTGTTAATAGTTATATTAGGGGAAAGGCGCCTATGATGGCATACCGGTCATATTTTCATAAATAATGGTTATGGCAAAAAAGTGATTAGACAAACATGTCTATACTGACTTACGTCCCTTATGCACAAATGTTGCTTTTACAATCAACAAAATACGTCCCTTATGCATAAATGTTGCTTTTACAATCAACAAAAATAGATTTTGGGATGAGCTGTTGTATTTTTAATCCCTTTAAATATTTAAGGTTGTGATTTTGTTATTAACTGTGCCGAAATGAAATTTTCATGCATTTTATTTCCAAGTTTTGTGCATTTAGTGGAATACTTATTTTAACTTTATCTTTTTAACAAGGCAGACAAAGCTTGTTTAAATGAAAATGATTTCTTCCTATGATGGCATACTGACGAGTTAGGTGTGTTGCAATATTGACGAGTTTAGAAAACCTTTATTTTTCATTAAAAAATTATATCTTTTAGTAGAGTAAAAAGGAATTTTTAATTCACTAAAAAATTTTTAGTTCAAAAAACACATAAAACGCAATATCTCTTGCGCGCATGCGTGAAATTCTACAATGCTGCTGTGTAGCACGAAAAGGTTAATTAGGATGATTACACATAATTTCTGGCATTTATGAGGGTAGACTTAAGGGTTTAACAAAATCGTCAAGTTACCCTTGATGCTAACCAGCCCCATCCTCACCTATGCCATCATAGGAGCAGTAGTTACCTATGATGGCATACTTGTGCTTTTTTTTAAATAAAAATAACTACTAAAAAAATAAAATTGATGAAAACTCCTAGGGTTATTGATGTTCTATATGTAACAAAGAATGTATCTATATCAAAACTTTTGTTCTTGGTCTTCAGGATACTGAATAATGAAGCTTCAAAGTTAAGTATGCCATCATAGGCACCTTTCTTACTCTACAAACTTCATCTTTTCTCTTCTAGTAACTTCCAACTTATATAGTGGTTGCTGGCAGCCTTGTGGGAAGCGAAGATAAAAAAAATAAAAATAAAAAATGTTTTGAGATTAAAGGAAAAGTTAATGATATTTTTGATTTACATAAAAAATTGAAACAATTGCCACATGATATTCAAAAATGTTAAAATTATTAAAAATTGTGCTAACATTACCTGTTAACACAGCAACAAATGAACAATATTTTTCAGCATGAAAACTTAGCTCAGAACAATTTTTGGTAACGAGAGACCAAAGAATTTTTTATTGCTAATGGCTATCGAGCCTAAATTAGTCAAAATGCGCTACCATTGTTACTCATTGTTGCGATGAAACTTTCATAACTTTTTAATGTTTTAACCCTAATGTTTAAAAAATTTAGTTTACCGTCCTACACTTGAATTTGGCGCTATTGATTGTGTGTTTTTCCTTGGTCAATCCTCAATCCAGTTGCAGCACTCGAAAATTAACTTTTATTTATAAATGTTTTCCAAGTAACTGTTTTTCGAACTTTAAGGTTCTTCCATGCTTTCGATACTTTAAAGTTCTTCAATGCTTTTCTAAGTTACTCGAACTTATAATGTATAATAGGCTCAACAGCTACCTAAAGGTAAACAACATGCTGTTCAACAAGCAATTTGGTTTTAAAAAAAATCACTCAACCGATCACGCTTTGACCGAGCTAGTAATACGTCACAAATGCCTTTAATTATGATTGCTTGACATTGGGAGTTTTTATTGATCTGTCTAAAGCCTTTGACACCGTCAACCATATCATTCTTCTTAAAAAACTTGAACATTATGGAATAAAAAACAATAACTTACTTTGGTTTAAAGAATATCTATCAAGCAGAAAACAGTTTATACAATATAATTACATATATAATTACAATTAAATATAGAAACAGGTAAAATGTCCAAAAATATATTAACATGCAAAGTCCCTCAAGGATCGATTTTAGGAACTCTATTTTCACTTTATAAAACTCTTTTTAAAGAAGTTAATGAAGAGTTAAACAAAATAAACGAATGGTTTTTAATAAACTTTCGCTTAACGTTACAAAAACTAAGTATATACTATTTCATAAACAAAATAAAACAGATAACCTTCCTCTAAAATTACTTGATCTAAAAACTTGATCAAAAATTACTTGAAAAATAGATTTTTAAAGTTAATCTTTTTTAACAGATTAAAAAAATAATTCATATTAAAATTTTTTAAAAACTATTCACATTAAATCTGAAAACCAATCTTCAGTTCAAACTCTTAAGGAGAATAATGTTAAATAAAGTTTTGTTTACCTTTTTGTGCACCTTCAGAGGATCATTGTTATGAGTTTCAACATAAAATGGTATAACAATAGAAACCACTTTTTTTTTCAGACTGTTTATTCTTATGACTATGCTTAAAATGAAGATTAAAATATTACATAGCAAATGTTGCCAACTGTTGATTTCTAAATGTAGAGGTTCTGGCTGAAATCGATCAGCAAACTCACCAATCACAGGATGGCCTAGCTGCCTCATCCCATTGCTAACCATAAATTCTAATATTACTTTGTGCTGTAACTTTTCTTTTTAAGTAGAAGAAAACGTTTTTTTAAAATGCTCTAACTTTTTTGTTTCAAGTTTCCCTGATTTTGTTGCACCACGTTTATTAAGTTGATCTTTATGCACATTTGCAAATGGTGATAGGTAAGTTGCACTGCATGATAAACAATTACTAGCAAATACTACTCATGCAGTATCAGCTGATGGTATGAATTCAAATGTTAATTTTTCATTGAGGATATTAAATGTGTTTTCTTCAATAAGCAACATTTCATCAGTGTGTTGTCTCCAATGCATCTTACATACATCATCCTTTTCCCCAGTTGTTACTGCATGCAGAAGATAGTGAAATTGGCGGCTTCGAATTCTTTCACCAAAGTTTGAAAATGCGTTACAATAGACTTTTCTTTTGATTCAGGAGTTCCATCATCAGAGAGTTCAACAACATAGTGATTTTTATTGTCATTTAACCATCTCAGCTTAGATTTTAATGAATCGACTTTGGAATGTAGATCTGAAATCATTGTAATTAAACCTGTTATAGTTTGAGAGGCACTACAACATCCGGCAATTACACTTACAACACCAATGTTTAAAGAATTTACAAACTGCTTACTTACAAACTACCAGCTTTGTTTGATATAGCCTTTGTTTTAATATCAATATTATATTCACCATAGTCAATGTTAATACCATTTTTAGTAGTATAATTTTGAAAGCTGCGTGCTTGGATACGACACATTAGTGAGTACTTACGGCTAGAAAGATGCGCTGTGTACTTTTTGGCAACAGCTTCTTTCATTGCATGCTCTGTCTGTGCTCCTTTAGCATTTATTCTGCAATAAAGTTTTTTTTAATTGACCACGTTTGTAAGATAATATAAATTCTTCTATATCTTTTAAAGAGGAAGAAGTAACTAATAAACCCCAACATCCATAAATTAGGCCTCAGTGGCCACCATGGATATACTTCATAACATTATATGAATCATGACGCCATTTGTATTTTGCAGATCTCATATTACTGTATATCATCGAGGCATCAGTTGGCTTATTTTCTTTTGTTTGTGCATAACCTTTCTTCTCAAATAGAATAGAAACTTGCTTATAACTCGTAAGTAGTTCATCATTTTCTTGATTCTGTATAAAAATATTTTCGCAAAGATTATGTAGTTCCTTTTTTTTTCTGTTTAACTTTGTCTACCAACATCAAGTATTCTGACTCTATAAATAAATAATCAGTATAAGTAAAACATTAACTTACACTAAGCAAGTAGAACACATGCTAAGCAAGTGGAGATTAAACTGCTAAATTAAGTTAAAAAATAAATATATTTCTATAAAATTACTCACTAAATTTATTTTTAATTTTATCTATCAATAAATAATGAGGGATAGTAAAAGCATAGATTGTTAGATTGATATGATTGTTAGACAAAAAGTAATATCAGAAAAAAAATTAAAAAGACAGGAAAATTTGTTTAGAAAAAGTGAAATAATATACATAGTGTTATTTAACCCTTTAACAACTATGGGACACTGGTGTCCCACATTTTCAAATGGTGTATTTAGATAGATCATCCCTGGATGATCTATCTAAATGTATCTATCTAAACATGACCTGTCATATTTTGAAAATGAGCTTAGTATAATATGAGCTTTAAAGGGTTAAACGAAACAATAATTTATAAATTTTAATACAAATTGCTGCTTGTTTTGTTCAAAGTAGCATTTTGTGTATAAGAAATTATTAACTATGAACTAAAAAAAACTTAAAACTTTCAAAATCAAAACTCACCCGTTTTATTTAATAACAGCTGCAATTTCTCATAAGCATTATATAACTCATTGTTTTTTTGGCTCTGTAAAATTGATTTTTCGCAACTGCTTTGATACTCTATTTCTTTTTGTTTAATTTTTTCTAACAATAACAAATGCTCTGTCTCTAAAAAAAAGCATTTCCTTCTTTTATTGTTACTTATATAATAATACATATTTATACAAAAATAATAATTTTTACCATTACTGTAACTTTTTTGGTCTCTATTTTATAAAAACTATTAAGTAATATTACTACTAGTACTGTAGTTACAACTTTAAATTATTATTATTATTATTTAATACTATTTTGTTGATAGTTTATTATTATTTTTATTTTTGTTAATTCTACTACTATTGTGATGAATTTTTTTTAATTTTAAATTTTTTTTTTCTTGTATCAATTATATCAAGCTAACAACCTATTCTTTTACTATCCCTCATTAATTATATAGAGTTTAAAAGTAAAAATAAATTTAGTGAGTAATAAATAAATTATATTGAAATAAACTTTTAACCTTTAGTTTTCAATAATTCTTGCAATATAGACAGGGCCGGCGCGAGTAGGTATCACGTGGGGGGGGGGGGGGTGTCATTTACAACTTTTGCCGACTTAAAAAAAAAAAAAAGGTCCTCGTTTTCCAAAAATTGACGACTGTCATGACGACATTTGCCGACTGTCTAACCTATATCGAAAGGGAGTCCACATTTGCCGACTAACTAGGTCCAATTTGCCGACTAAGGGTCCAATTTGCCGACTAAGGGTCCAGTTTGCCGACTAAAAATCATTGATGGGGGGGGGGTGTCACACACACCTATCAATGATTTTTAGTCACCCCCCCACACACCCCTATCGCGCCGGCCTTGAATATAGATATTCCTTCCTTTTCACGATTAAAATTAATTATTAGTTTAGTCTTGTTAAATAAGAATTACTCATTAAAGGAACATTTACTATCACATTTTGATGAATGACCAGAAATTTTTGAGCAGTTTCTTTTTTCCCCACAAAGCCTGAATGAGATAAAAATATATATTTGTGTTAAAGTATCTTAATACTAAACATACATCTCAATATAAATTAAAATTAAAAAAAATAAATTACTTCTTTGAATGATCTGTTTCTATTTCCTGCACATTGACAATGTACCAACTTGCAATGCCATTGCAAGTTAAGAGATTTGTAAACAAAAATTTTTTTTTACTCAACTCTTAAAAATCTTAAATCTTAAAAACAAAATTTCTCAACTGCCTAATTATAAACTTTGTAACTTATACAAACATGAAAAAAATATATATTATTTCAAAAATTTTGTAATATTATTTTGTAATATTACTTAAAATTTCAAAATGTTATCAAAATACGAAAAAAAAAAAAAAAAAAAATGGCTACCAATAATTTTTCTGGAAAATCACATGGAAACATTTAAGATAAACTGATATTTCACTTCCGCTGCATTTATAAAGAATTTTCACAATAATTTTTGGTGTGTTGGGATAATATTTAGTTAGAGATTTTAGAAATGATTTATTATTTTAGGTTTTAAGGCTTTTTGAAAGTTGAAAATGTCAATTTTAGCAAGAAAAAATCAAATATCTCAAGAAAACAAAAAAAAAAAAAAGAAAGATTGTAATCCAAGTATCCTTTTTAGATACATAACAATGTGTTTGGAGGAGGTAACATAATGGTTTATCGAGCACCTTTTTTCAGGCATATTTGTAAAGCCTTAAATAATACGATTAATGCGTAAATAAAAATATGTTCTTCCACAAACAAAGAATGTAATTTATGTTTAATATATTGACACATTTAAATATTCACTTTTTGAACAATCAATCCATAAATCTTAGTTATTTAACTTAACTATAGACTGGATTAAACGTAGAAAAATTCCAGTCTACTTAAAACTAAACGAATACTTAAAACTAAACGAATACTTAAAACTAAACGAATACTTAACTAAACGAATACTTAAAACTAAACTTAAAACTTAAACGAATACTTAAAACTAAACGAATACTTAACTAAACGAATACTTAAAACTAAACGAATTTTAAAACAGTCGCGCAAACATTTATAAATTCGCGTTGAAAGATTTTTTTGCTTAAGTTAACGTCTTGTATACCGTAAATATAAAACAACAAAAATTAAAAGACGTAACACTATATAATTTATATATATATACACTATATAAGTTATATAATATTTATATTATAAAACGTTTTTCTCGAGACTTTATAAAGCAAAAATCATCTGTCCTAAAGTCCTACTTTAACTTTTTGTTTTTGTATTGGTTAAAAAAAAAGAAAAAAAAAAAAGAAAAAAAAAACAGTAATCAGTACAAAGAAAGTATATTATTTGTGGTGGATAACCACAAAAAAAAAGTTTTTTTTTATGGAAAAATGAATTTTTTGATATTTAAGTGATATAATTCTTTAATGATCCATTTTAACTATGGTCAAGCTAATTTTATCTATCTCGTTTCGAAAATTAATCTATTTTGGATAGTTTGTTGGTTAGTATAAAAAAGCGTCATTAGCAACGACCATTGCAACAACATTTTTTTTTTGTAAAGTCTTTATTAACAAGCTTTTCTTTACGATATCAACTGCATAAAAATTTAAACATTTTATGGTTTATGGTTTATTGTTTTTAGTGGTTACTTAAAGTCCTCATGCCAAATTATTTATAAGTTAACAATATGTAGCATTTCATACAACATACTTTGTTTGCATTTCAACTAAAGATAGTATTTATCTACGCATATGTTATATACATATATATATATAAATAACGATGGGAAATAAAAAAAACAATGAATGAAAAAGAAAAAGAAGATTTAATGGGTTTTTGAAAAATTGTTCTGAAAACCACCTCAACCAACTTGTTCAAGTTCTAAAAAGCTCAAGATTAGCCAAAATACAGACAGTGAAAACAGTTACTACATTCTTTTTAACTTTAAAATTCTGAAAGATATCATTGAGTAATTTTGTATATGTCCAAATTGTGAAAGTAACATGTTTATTAATGATGATTCCAAACTTAGAATGGGGTTTTCTCACAAGTTAATTATTTGCAAAAAATATAAATATGAGTTTAACAGATACACTTCAAATGAGCTTTATAAAAGTAATTCAAAGCAAGAAAAAAATTTATTTGACGTGGATTTGAAAGTCATAATAGCTTTTCGTGAAAATGGTAAAGGGCATGAGGCTATAAAAGATTTTTCTTGTATAATCAGTATGTCATGTATGAACAAAAATGCATTCAATAATGCAATGAAAACAATATCAAAGGCTTACAATTCAGCTGCATTACAATCAATGAAAAATGCTGTAGATAAAATTAAAAATAGTTCAACAAATAAAACATCTACCGGAGAAGCTTTGATTAAAGTTTCTATTGTTGGCACGTGGCAAAAACGAGGCCATATTTCTTTAAATAGAGCAGTAACAGCTATAAGCAAAGGGAGTTGTATTGACTTTACAGTGCTTAATAAAAATTAACAGGTGTTGGAAACCTCACGAATAATTCTATAAACACTATTTAAAACTATTTTGGTATGGAGATAAGAGAAACTGAAAACAATAAAAGTTTAAACGATGATGAAAAAGTATACCAAATGAAAAAAGGAACAAGAGCTGTTCCAAATCATTGTACTAACTTTACAGACAAAATGCGGCGTCATATACTATGTCCTAGACGATTAAATAGTTGGTGTAGGTGGAGGAATTGTGAAGAAATATCAATTAACTATAAAAACAGTTAATTGATATTTTTTTAATTGATATTTTTATAATATTTTATGTGTATAACTTAATTGATATTTTTATAATATTTCATGTCTGTTTCTAATGTGATAATAAAGTTTTTGGTTATTTTTAAAAGCATTTGAAAGATTTAGAGAAAGAATATATCCTTTTTTGTCATAAGTATAACTATATAAATGTCAAACAACAAAAAATGCTGCTTCAGACCCTGATATATATATATATATATATATATATATATATATATATATATATATATATATATATATATATATATATATATATATATATGTATATATATATATATATATATATATATATATATATATATATATATATATATATATATATATATATATATATATATTATTATTATTATTTTATAAACATCAATAAATACGATTTTCTCTCGATACTAAATTTATTTTTTATTTTTTAAAAGAAATTTTCGCTGGATTGTTGTGACCAGCGTCTTCAGCTTAAAAGATTTTGTTTGTTTTTGTTTATATGTTATTTTTAAACGGCAACTTTATTATATGTCGATGGAATGGTTTCATCTTTTTCTGACGTAAGTGCATTAGAAATGGTGTCCAGAATATTGTTGACACATAATGCCTCTCATCTAAATTGATACCACTTTGTTGAGGGGCACATTGGTGGTACTGTATTTCAAGCGCCTCACGAACTTTCCTATCAAACTTTTTGTTATTGACTTTTAGAGTTCTGCAACTGTCCCAGTTAAATTGTTGTGCACAATGTTTCATGTGTGTGGCTAATGCTGATCTTTCTGTTTTATTTCCTATTGTACTGTTTTTGTGTTGTTGCATGCGTGTTTTTATTTGCATTTTTGTTTCACCAATATACTTTTTGTTACAATGGCACTTAATAAGGTAAACTCCTGGGTGGCTGTTCCTTTGTAGTTTGGATTTATTTCTTGAAGTTAATATTGCTTTTAGGTTTAAATTTGATTTAAAGACCGTTTTATATCCTGCCTTCCTAAACACTTTACGCAATTTGGGAGACAATATTGGTACCCAAGGTAATGAAATTGTTGGATACGTACTGGTGATGTTGTCAATGTTTTTAGTAGTCACTAGAGGTTTTTTGTACTTTCGTTTTATTTCTTTTATGATTTTTATAAGATTGGAATATTTGTAACCATTTTCGACAAATACTTGAATAAGGAATTTCAGTTCATTTTCTATATGTTTCTGACTGCATACATTAAATGCTCTATGTACAAAACCCTTGAATATTCCATTTAAAATTTGTGGGTCATGGTTTGATGTTGCCTTAACTTGAATGTTAGTAATTGCATTTTTTCTGTGTATTCTAAATTCGTATTTGCCATTTTTGTTATTTATTATGCATAAGTCTAGAAAATTTATTGTTTTTTTGTCATTTTCAAATTCGATTGTATATTGTATTTTTGGATGCTGTTGGTTAAGTGTTGTCTTGAATTGATTAGCCTGGGCAATGTTAGGGACTCTAGAATAGCTGTCATCTACGTATCTATAAAATGATTTTATGTCAATAATCGGGTTGGTTTTCAGCGCTATATTAAGCGCTCTTTTTTCAAGATTTTGAAGAAAAGATTCAGCTAAAACTACCATAAAAGAAAGACCTATTGGACCTGAATTTTCAAGTTCATGTATTTCATTATTCCATAAAAAGTATGGTCGGTATAAACATTGTTCTATCAGAGTTTTTATTTCTTTTATATTTAATTTTGTCATTTTTTTAAAATTATCGCTCACTTCCAATATAATTATGAGTAC